CATGTAGGCATGAAGAGAATGTGCTTCTCGTGAAACTTGAGGTGAGATATTGTAGTCTTTTTTTGATGTTTTGCAACGGCTATGGCCAAGGAATATACGGTTAATGCTAAGGAGTATGATCTTGAATTTTATGCCCAAGACTAGCCCATCACGTACATTTCTATTGGAATAGATATAGAAATATTTCTATTCCATGCCCAAACTATGAAAAAGAGCTGGATTGCTTTGGCATCGGAGATTTATTTCTGACCATATGCATACTGCAGATCTGTTCGGACAATCCTAAGTGCGAAATTTCTCTCTTTTACACTCGTCATACATTCCCGTCCATACTGTTCACCGTGCACGACGGTGGAGACTGTGACGTCAGGGCGTCGAGGCTGGTTTGACGACCAAATGTAGCGTGTGAGGATTAAAATGTAGCTAGTTCCATGTCAATTATCACAATATTAGCTACCGGTATATAAACCAATAAGGGTTGAATTTCTAATATTTTTAGGTCCCAATGGGATCTTCAAATCCTTTTTTGCTACATAAATTGGTCCCTTGTACATTACCTTCATAACTTAATGTTCCTGCCCAATGACGTCATTTCTAAAAGTACCTTCCTCACTCTTTGGCCTCCTCCTCCCTTCACGTTGAAAGAGTAAGATCTCTGACTGAGGGATAGAGCGACAGATTCCAATCCATCCAAACATTACAAGATTGAAGAATGCCGATAAGTAGTCATTCTGCTAAATATCTCCCACGATTAGTGTGTCTGGTGTGTAGTTTGAAGATCACAACGAGAAAGAAAATGTGGAGTGCAATCTAGTGCACGGATGGGATGCGAAGTATGTATGTGACGTTTTCAATTAGGGCTGGGAAGGTAAGACTTCTGGAAGAAAAAGGCTACTGGAATTCAAAGCCGGGAGTGTGCAGGAAGTCACATCCTTATGACGCATGCTCAAAGTGTAGTGGACGGTGGGCTCGCTTTGTCAACATAGAAGCCGAAGAATCGCTATCTTTGGAAAAGTTAGATCTTCTCAAGAAACGCTTCACTTGTGCATCTCTCTAAGGGACACTCGGAAACATTTGACTTTTTGGTTTGATTGAACGTGACTTGGGGAGCTGATGATCAATATGTTATGGGTTGACAAAATTCAGTATAACACATGATTGTGTATGAGTTATCCATAGTAGAAAAGATATGGATATCTTGATGTATATTGGGGTTTTAGTAACATCAGTGACGTGTCCTGTACATACACAAACAGTCCCTTTTCTGCGAAGCTTTTCCTTTCTCATTCTTTCTTAATCTGGATAGTATAAAATCGGCTCGATAATCCAGACATTCAGTCAAACGTGTTTTATAAAGTGAAAATCTTGGTACATCTCAAACATCTTTATCTTCAGTAGTATTGGATATTTGAGCTCAAACATACATCACGTTCTTTATAAACAAAATCTAAGCCAACCTCAAACTTCCAAACTTGGATTGACGAAACGGTGCAATAATTGATGTGGATACAAAAATGTATATTGTGACTATTATTACGTCAAGATCTATAGCGCAATGTGTGAAAATAGATATCGAAGAATATTATGTATGGACGTTGTTCTAAAAGGTTTACTGGAATCAAAGAAGAAAATATATGATCCATTTATTTATAATGCATGAGCTTCATATATTATATTCGGGTATTGTATATGACAAGTACAACTCAGAGAACATCACATCAAATAAGGAATTTTTTTCCATGTCCGCAATATAGATTTTAAATTTGTACCACACGAGATATAAATCTCAACAACCGTATACAGATATTCATTTCATATTAGATAAGGTTACCTCAATGTAATGAAATATTGAATATCAATTTTTTTCTCATCAAGAGTAAAAATATTCATTATATAGATAAATATTTAAATTTTTTTTTTGAAATTATGAAATATTTTCATAATTTGATAGATTTTTAGTTAAATTTTTGATGAAATACATGTTCCCAGATTTTTTTTTCAGATTATATAGGTAAATAAATCGAAACAAAAATTTAAAACTTAGAAAGAAGTCAGATTAAAGAAAACGATCAACAGATTAGAAAATTTAATTAAGCTTAATAAATTGAAACGTTCATGTAAATAAGAAATTTTCAATCTCATTTTGTAGATATTCTTTATATATATATATCATATAATACATTTTTTAATAAATTTCATAGTTTACAAATCAAGATTTCTTTGATTCTTCTCTTACGAAAGAAGAGATCATCAGCATATATAATAAAAGCATTCTAAATACATCATGTAACATCATTTGATAATGCATTTTTTTATCTATGTTGTGAACAATATTAGAGAAAAGGATTTCCTTAGCAATTTTCAGAACATTGAGGGATTTAATTTGAAACAAGTCAAGCAACACTGGAGATGTTCATCATAAATTGCAATACCAAAATATTTGACAGTATCAAAAGATGCAATAAACATTCTATAAATTTGTGTAAATTTTTGTTGTTATCAACCTGTGCAAGAGAAGATTGCAAGATTGAGAAGATATGCACAAAATGAAACATCAACTTGAAACAAGAGTTCAAGATGAAGGATATTAGTTCATTTTGATCTTTCTTTGACATTAAGATAATATATGTTGCATGTACTTTGATGATAGAAAAAACGAATAAATAACCTTTCTAAGTTAGTGTTCTTTCATGAGATACACACAAGATGAAAATCAAATCAAACGTAGTAAATTCATGTCCACACACATAGTAAAGACGGTAGAAATTTCGTATATGTCAATATATATTTTAAATATGAATGAACACAAATATGAAATATTTATCAATAAATATTATCTACTAATGAAAGTTGTAAATCATACTGAGATGAAAACCGGGAATGTTAAAACCGGAAATGTTCAAACGACCACATGTAATGTTGAAACGACTAAAGACGCACCACCTGTTAAAAGATAAATTTTTTTGCAATCAATTCAAGTATCGTCTCCTAGCGTGTTTTTTTTAAATATTGGTGCATATATGCAGAAAACACAATCAAACATGATAATTAATAATTACTCGACTAATAACACATACGGGGTTGAAAATAACACCAACTGGATGAAATGTAAAGAAGAAGCAGCCAGAGCTGATCGAGACAAAACATATGTGATCCTAAATTTAATTTTGACAGACAATGTGACCACAACGCTTCAATGACTCTGGTCTCAGTGTGGTCGTTTTAACAAATATGGTCGGTCATTTTAACATTCACGTAAAAAAATCCTTGATTTGACACAGTGGCGATTAACTTAACAAGTGGAGCAAAAATCCAATACGAATTTATATCAATGTCATATTCAATATGACAAATTGCACAAGGCAAAAATTTCAACATATAGGTTGCAATTCTTAGTTTGACTTTGAAGTAGTCTTGTCAGCTCCTGAATTGGAGTATATTCAGAATCTAATAGTTAAACGAAGTTGCGAGAGATTTTGATCTTGAATTGTTAAAATTTGAGTTCACATTAATGATGAATGTATGAGAATAAAATATATTTCTATAAATTTTGACTATGTATACATGATTTAATCAATAGTCTTCAATACATGTTTATAAAAAAGAAAAGAGCAAAAATTTGCTAACATATCTGCTAATTATTATTATAGTTGCTTGTACTACTTTTATAGTATGAAGTCCTCTTAAGTCTATCACTTAGATTTTTTTAGTACTTTTCTGATGCTCTAATGTTGATATGTTTTGATAGAGTTCATTTTGATTTTACATGAGTTCTCCACATGTGTGTGTGTTTGTTTTGTGTATGAACTCACAGATTTAGTTGTTGCAAAAAATTATATCAAATCTCATTCTTCTCCGATTCCCCATCTCTCGATGATGCAATATAGTAGAGGCTTATAAAATCTAGTATCAACAATATAAGATTCATCCATTTTCTAAATACTATTACATACAGGTTTTACACCCACACCGACTATTCTAATATTTAGGATCCTCAGACTCCAGTAAGTTGATAATAATTGGAATACAAGATGCTATGATGAGGCCAAAATTTCTTGATTTTTTGGTCCTATAGAATCAAGGTCACCTTTTGAGAAGATGAAAAATCTCAACTCTGTAAAGGGGAAAGAACCAATGAATAAGTCTGTCGTTAAAATTTATTCACGTTGTTCTCTCTTGATCCAGTATAACTCTCCTTCTCGTTTCCCTAATATAGCTGCATATTGCTTACTATTTAGCCCCTACATATAAAAGTACACTTAACAGGCTTCCATGCTGTAGATACAAAGCTACTGTAAATTTTTTCCTTGTCCAACAATGGTACTCCATGGAAGAATCTATGGAGCTGGACACCAAAGAGAAACAGTGAGCGAAGGATGGTAATCTATGGTGTAGTTTGATTCCGTCTAAATATGCGCCTGGCTTACGATGGACTTGACAAGGCGAGGGGACTTATAGGTGCGAAGGCACCAACCCCATTATAATCTATTAACATCAAACGTGTTCAATGCTCGTGGGAAGTCTTGACAAAAATCCATAAATTAAGCAGGCCGCCACTCTGTCCTGCCTGTAATCTCTGAAGGCGTTTTCATGAGTTGTCAACACTGCCGTAGTCTTGTAGAAGAATGCAGAGTATATAAAGTATGACCGAGGTTTTCCTGCGACCTAATATAAGTATCTTCTGAAAAGAGTCTATTGAAAGCAACCAGATACGAGCAATAATTTGACTCTTGTGCAATATACCCTTTGAAGTTTCCCTGTGAGCTTTCCAGCACTTTTTCGACTTTCGTTCACATACTATATGAGTAGGATGTGACGAATAAAGCTCAAAACTGACCCATCATATCATCCAAATACCCAGAAAATACCAAAAAGATCCGGAAATATATTTTGTTGGAACAGGTGAACCACTGTACCGCCTTGAAAACACCAACGCAGTGCCTACCACGGTTCGTCATGGAGCGAGTAAGCCTGACGCCATCCGCGCTAATACGAAAGGAACATGCACAGGCATTTCATTTGACTCCAAGCCATAACCAGTATTTCGCTGGTGGTTCCCTGACGCACGCACTTCCTGACGATCATGGGCTTTGTAGAAAATCGAAAGGTGCTGCCTGGCTCCATTGTCAAACCCCAAGGGGCCCAGTCCAGCAGCCCACGATACCAAAAGATAAAGGTTTAGCGAGACCACGCCTTGTCGCTTTCGGGCTCCAGGAGGGGCAACGCTTGGGTCTGAACGACATTATCTGTACCAACCCCGCCTTGTTACTTTCCTCCATTTGGTCCAGTTTTCTTTCGGTGTTGGTCTTAAGTTCCGGTGAGATGTTTCGGGACATCGTAAGGTGGAACACTAAGTATGTGGTTCTGGTATGCTACTGCTCTCTAGCAGCCAAAGAGTATGCAGGAGTGATCACCGACCTATTGCTCCGCACTCTGAGTCCAACTTCGTCCTTTTCCACCCCACTGGGCGAATCGCTATGATCTATGATCTATGACCAAACCCTTTGCTGCATTCCATCATGTAAGTTTCTGTATCCTTTGTAAAAATGTGGAGCAGAACGGAACCATAAGTGCCAATTGGATCGTATTGTGTGATGATGCATGAGGAAAGTCACATAATTAAAAAGACGAGATTGCAGCTTGCACAAGCTGTCCTACAACTTCTAGTCACCATTGTGTTGCCCGTTTACTTTCCTTACATGTGAACAATCAGACTACGCGCATGAAAACTTTCCATTGGAAACTCCCAATGTCGATGAGAGAGCCGAACTTCCGCTAATAGAATCGTGCTCGTTCTCACTCGCATGCTGGTCGAAGTCTGTCCTACGAAAACTTTCTCAAATTGATTTAGTGGATCCTGATCGCTTTTTACTACTGACCATGTGATTTTGTGATAGTCCCCTTGCTCTTGGTCGAGTATATCTCAACAGGGTTTCCTGCGAGTTCCACATCCCAAAGCTTAAGTAGTTCTTTGCCTTTCAAAGCAGTCATCGTGTTGGCACTGGGGTCTATTCAGGTCTATCCAACCTTGATTGCGTGTGCAGACGCTGTTTAGTCGCTTTGAATAATTTATAGCTGCAGCACACAGGAGTATACTACGCATCTTACGTTCACACCGATCTGTCAGTTATCCATACCCGAAAATCGGCTTCCAACGTCGGGGTAGTCACTGCAGGAATCACTTTGTCTTGTCTTCGGCAGTGCTCACCACTCTCTGCTTTGAAATCCACTTACCTCGAGATGCCATAGAACACCGCACATCTTGACGAGGTACACCATTGAAATTTGCTCTGGGTAGGACGTAGGGTGATGCCAACCTTACTTCCTTCTCCGACCTTTACCTTTCCCCATCTGGCCAGACTTAAAAGCTGATTCCTGCTCCTGTAGAAAGGCCATTGCTTTGCCGAATTTCTCTTTCCTCTCTTCCTCCGCAGCAAGCTTTTCCTTGGCTTTTTCTTCCATGAGAAAATAGTTGTCTTTTCGGAGCTCCCGTGCGGCACCTTTGAACTCTGACTTAACTTTCCGCACCAATTTCTTCTTTTCAGCTCTCTCTCTGTCGGGATCATAACTCCTTCCCTGCACATAACTTTTTTTACGAATGCCCACACGATCCCGAATCAGCATTAATGTCGACTTCAAACATCGTGGTTATCACCCAGACTACATTTCGAAACTACTCTGAGATATTCATAGAGTTCAAATAGGTCTCACAGTTCCGCCAGACTGCTGACAAGCTCAGAGAAAGACCATCGGTTGTCCGATATTTCATGACATACGATCAACTGTGTTGGAGGTTGGAGCAGTCTGAAAAAAATCATACCATCATACCTAAACATGACTTTATATAGAGCCTACACTGACAGGAGAGTCACGTCAATAACATGTAAAGCTTTGACTATTTGCCAGTGCACTCTACTCGGAGTTTTGATAAGAAACTTACTTTTCTTCGAATTTGGGGTTGAATTGTTTGATTGGCATCCTTTTCTGTATTCGCATTCTCAAGGGTTGTCTCAGGCGTTCATGCTCTGCCAACTTCGTCTCAATAACCTCTGTCGCTTGCGTATGCAACACTCTCAAACATTCTGGAAGCACCGATTCTTGTTTCAGGCGCTTCATAACTAAGAGAACTGGAGAGAAGACTTCCGGGAATGACATGAGATCCTCGTATAGACTGATGAAGCCATTCAAGGTCTGCAGAAGCGTGCGGAGAATACCAACCCTGTGACACGAGACGTATCTATTAGAAAGGTCAAAATTTGACCACAATATCCAGAGTCCTCATGAGGCGCTCTGTCCATTACAACCTACACCTCATTAGTATACGACAATGCGTCACGGAAGATACCAGGAGGCTACACTATACATATCTGGTATATTCAACCATCTTTTTTTCACAAACACTGAGAATGGTGCGCAGGTCCAGGGTGTAACTGCAAAAGCTTTTCTCTAAAACTGATGAACCACTAAAAAAATTCTGTAAAGAGATGCAGCGAAGAAGCAAGTATACCTGAAAGAATCAGTCTTGAACACAGGATCACTTTCTTCTGCCGTCATCAATGCTACAAAGTCTAGAGCAGGTGTTTCTATCTCTTTTTTTGAGTTCTTCAACACCAGCCACTGCTCCGCGAGACCTATCTCCACCATGAATGCTGGACACTGCAAATTTACAGCAATCTAACACGTCAGAAATCGGTTTGACTATCACGTGCCAACTTGGACGTCTGATGTTCGGCAATATCTTACATTTGTAACTAGAAGAAGTTACCAAAAAGACAGTTAGGATATGCCAGATTATACGTACAACAGATCGAGCAAAGTCAAGTTTGCCGTCCGCTTGACTTGGTAAAGCCGACACCAAGAGAGTCATGATGAAATTGAGCGCTTCTGGACAAAAACGACGGGCTTGGTTCAAAACCTGCAGAATGTGGCCGCGATCTTTCAATCAGTTACAGTCAATACACATGGAATATATAGGAATATATATATGTATATCCACATAAGAAAGGAGCTAAATACAATTTTGTTTCCTCCTGCTTGAGAAGTCAAACATACGCAGTTATTAGTTTCAAAACTACAACTTAGATTCATACTCAGCCATGCAATACTATCTGAAAGGACTTGAAGACCGGCAGAATATATGCCATTTGTGATTCGGTCTTCAGATGATACACTCTTCAGATCAAAGACTGTCCTTTGAGTCAGCGTCATCAACAATATCCAATTGAGACATCGATGTGGACTTACAGATAACAGCAGAGTACAGAAGAAAGACCCAACGGCAACGTCCCGACCTGAGGTTATAGGGCACCGACACAAAACTTCTGACATGAACAGGATAGCTGGCGTCATGACCGGATGTCGAAGATCGGATGGAGGAAAAATCAAAGACCAGAATCTTAATAGCATGATCGTCCTTAGTGATGGCCAGCAGCTACTACCATCTGCGTTTAGAACGAATCATCAAGAACAAATGACGCGTTAGAATCATCATAATCAACTCGATACTGATAGCCAATCGCTTCTGCATATTTGAGGGAACTTAAAGTTTAACTTAAAATCTGATATATTTACTTGTTGTAACCTTATATCAATGACCAACCAATCTTCTGGTATTTCAGATTCTAGACACCTAGAGAAGGCATATACATATTCAAAGAACTGCACAAGAGGCAAATGATTACTAAATCATGTGTAATCAGACTGAGTCTAACCTGAAAATGAGGTAAGGGCAAACCTGAAACTTTAAGCCTATCGGTAATTTGCGTGTGCATTTGAACGAGCCGCTGTCGAGCACAAGTTGCCGCAAAGTACGGTGTTTCCGTACTTAATTCAATAAGTGGTTTGCATAGCAAATTAAGTCTGCTCAGACGAAAAGGCTTCTCCATAGCTAATGATCCAAAATATTGAAGTAACACGTTGTAAAAAATCTGCAAAATGCATTCATTCAACAACGATCAGGAAACGAAACAGGAACTGTTTTTTTATTCACGTTCCTAATATTCATCTACTGTAACAATTTGAATATAATTCTATTGCTGGGACATTAATTTTCGGAGACAATTTAAAAAAAGATGTTTTCTATTGCAAGTTCCAAACACGCACCTGCATCTTTCTTCGATTATCCGCTGCTAAGCTGATTGCGTTACATGTCCTGATTCTTTGGATAGCAACTACCAGTTCTTCATTGCTTCTGCGGTCGACCAAAGTTAAAAAGGTTCCAAGAGTTTGAGGCGCATCGATCACAAATGGTAGGGCATCTTGTTCTTGTAAAGCCTCAGACGCCCGTTTGGCTGCTGCTATTGCACGGTCTTCTTCTCTCTTCTTCTTCTTCTCAAGAGCAATGCGCACTTTTTCAAGGAGCTCCTCCCTGGTTTCTTCATCGCTCCCTTCCCCATCTTCTGAATCTCCTTCATCATCCCCTTCCTCTGACTCGTCCTCGTCCTCGTCCTCGTCCTCATCCTCATCACTCCCTTCCTCCTCATCACTGTCTGCTTCCTCATCATCCCTTCTCGCAAGCACTTCATCTACCCAACCAGTGCCTTTCTTCTCCTCATCATCTAGAACAAAATTCTCTCCTAGATCATCGCCACTAATTTCTCTCCTCTTCTTCTTCTTCTGCCGCTTATTAGCTTTTCCGGCTTCTTCATCACTTTCTTCGCTATCATCCTCTGTGTCTTCGCCAAGCATTCGCTGCTTCCGTTTTTTCTGTCAAAACGAGAAAAAGTAAAATCGTTGAATGTTCGATATCACCCCGAAACCAGACAGGAGAAAATAAGTGGGCCTCCGGCTGTACTCCATATCAAGGCTACAATAGCGAAGGGAGCGCTACAAACTTCACCGCTGGACATCGTAAGTAAAGGTAGCTTTGCTTCGACCTCACATGAACTCATTACCTCATTAGATAGCTCAACGTTATTTATGTAGGTATTGAAAACACAACTTCAGAGCAAGTGCCGTAGTCAAGGTAACTTGGCTCGCTCACTAGACTGCAGAAGTTCAATGCATAGAGAATAAACTGATGATATTATAATAAACATGTGAATGTTACTTACTTCCATCTCCTCTAAGCGCTCTCGCTCCTCCTTAATTAGTTCGTCATCTGTCTTGAGTCGGTCAGTGGCATGCCCTCGCATTTCAAAGACCATTTCCTTCATTATCTTTTCAAAATCATCAGGCTTCTCCTGTACAAAAGCAGATAAGAAAGACAAAACAATTACAAAGTCAGATCGATTGAAAATATAATAGATGTGATAATAATCTCTGTAAAACTGGTATCTACAGCAATTCGCGTTTGAATGGCATACCTGTCATATGAAGCCTAAGCCTAAGTCATCGTAGCCTGTCATATGGCTTATCACATAAGCTCATAAGCTAAGGGCTTAGGGTTCTGCAACAGAAAGCAATTATCTCCTATATGTTGAGAAACTTGTCCAAAAGATACGTACCTCCTCTTCTTTGTCTTTGCCAGATCCTTTATCTTTTGTAGAACCTTTAGCCAGCATAGACTTCAGGTTATCCTTTCTCGTTGGACGAAAGAGTGACGATAATGCTTGAGACTGGACCAGCTCGGTGAAATCCTTGTCAAGTTTCTCCTCCAGATCCTGATCTTCCTCTTTTTCTTTCGCTTTTTGAGCCTGCAGAGTGATCGGAATGTCAGTTCAAGTCGTTGGTGTGAAACTAAAGAACCAACACTATAGAACGGATTAAAGCTGCCCAAAAAACAAAATAAACTTCAGAAGTTGGTCCTGACCATCTGAAGGACGGAATATTTGGTTTTGTAATTACGTCCAATCATACCTTGTAGAATTTACTCTTGGCAATGATCTCCTCCATGATTTCTTTCTTTGACTTTGGCTGAAAAAACCAAAACAACAATAATGATCATTAGTCATCAATATGACACTAAAAAGTTCAGCACACTCACGACGGTAACAAACGTAAAAGTGATGTTTTTTCATCGAAGATTGTGATACCTTTTGTCCTTCACTTCCACCGTCATTAGAAGAAGAACCACCTCCAAAGTTCAGCGCCATCACTTCCTCCTTACTCACTTCATACACAGCCGAGGAATAGAGTTAATTAGCCTCAGCACATTGGCTTGGATGACACATCCAACCATTACACCTTTCTCTCTCATCACCGCTCTGTCATGAAAAAATGACGAAAGCAACTCTTGACCAAACGATGACAAACAACGCGGTGTCCAGTATTTAACTCATTGGATACAGGTAACGACATTAACATGTTCAAGATGAAAAATGGCCTCAAGAATACTAGGAGTTACATGCTCACATCTAGGGTATGTCCTATACCTATACATGTATAATAAATTATACACTTTATACATGTATAATTTGTATAATGAAATGCATTATACATGTATACTTCCGAACAGGGAAGGTTGGTTTTCCTAGCCAGACAGCCAGATGCCTAGAGCATGACTGAGTCATGATGACTCTCAAGAACGGAGAGAGGAGAATTATGTAGGCAGCGGGAAGAGCCAGAGAGATTAAATGCCTAAATCATAAGGAAGCATACATAGAAGTAGTTCATCGTCGTGTTTTATAAGTTGTAAAAATCGTAAGTGGGAATATGGTGGGAATATGGTGGCAGTCATGACTGGAGAAGAGAGTAACCATGATGTAGATGCTTCTGGAGAAGAAAATGAACAGGAATAAAGCTTTTTTGGACAGTGTATAATGTACGTATACTATACATGTATAACTTGTATAATTTGTATAATGAAATGTATTATACATGTATACTTCCGAACCCTACTCACATCCATCAAGGTAATCATCGTCCTGCATGGAGTCGTTGTCCTCATCTTTATAATCGTCAACATTTGACAAGGCCATTCCCCCATGAGTAAGAATCTCTTCTTCTTCCTCATCCTCGTCATCACGTAAAGCAAACTTGCTTTGCCGACTGATTTGCGACTGATCACATGAACGCCATGAGCTTCCGATCAGAAAATCTGTAAAGGGTGCTACCTGTCCAAATACAACTGAATGATAACAAAAGAGCAGTATATTACGGAGAGAACACGAGGATATTACCTGACGCTCTTTTTGAAACCGCATGATTGCTTTGTCTTCCTCACCAAGTCCATCGTCATTCTCCCCGAAACGACGATCTACAAAGGTATTGCCTTTGCCTTTTTTCTTGTACTCTTGCAATAGAGTGTCTTTTCTCTGTCAAGGAGTCCGCTTTGTTAGTCGACAGCTTAGATGATCAAATACCGAGAAGATCTTTCAATCTTCTCGGTATTTGTAAGCTCGGAAACAATTGGTAAAAACAAAAACGTTTAAATAAAAAGGCTTAACATGCACAGGAACCAATCGATAAAGACCCGTAAGCTAAAACTAGAGGGGCTCTAGCTAAGGCATAAATCAATCCATCATAAATGAAAATGGTTTCAGGTCAAAACAGAAGCACGACATAACACACACAGCAAAGCATCCTGCGGAAAGAAACTAGGACATTCACTGGACGCTATTCAAAGAATTTTGATAGAAGAGAGCTGCATGCTAGTTGAAGAAAAGAGAAGCAAGCAGTCACAATCTATGTGAGTAAGTGGATGTGTAAGAGAAAAATGGAACATGCTAAAACCAAAGAACAAACACGCCGTCAAAACAAATTACGATGTATTTCCTCGTATCGGATGCGAGCAAAGGAACCAGTGACTATCAACAAGTCTACCTGATGGGCATCATTCCTTTACTTAAACACCACTGCCTCGTCAGTGGGTACCGTGATGAAGAGCATTTTCTGCAATAAACCTCAAAAGCCTGACGACAATTGAAGTTACAACTTGAACACTACTCGGCTCCAACCTTGGAAATTTGTGATAAAGATTCCTTTCACAAAAAACAGTGATGTAGGTTTCTTCTATCATTGAACATGTTTGTATAACTGGGCATAGCATTGAGCTTGAGACAATGAGAAAACTTAACAAAGAAATTTTGAGAAAAAGCTAAGTAGCAACTAGGTTTCCATGCGTTCCATCGTTTAAAACTCATTCGTCGGTTCCTCCCTGAACCATGCATAGTTTTCCAAAATAAGTTCATATGTGTTTACATAGTAAAAGGTTCAGATCACAGCAACAATCCACGAATAGTAATTTCGAAACGATCCCATAATTGAAACCAACAGTTCCATTTGTAGTGGCTTTGATCTTTGTTTAGAAGACTTGCCAATGTTTAAAGCAAAAAAGATAACAGGCCAGTCTAAACTACCCAGAGAGTAAACTGGACGTCAATTTCCATCTCCTCATCCCACAGGCATGTGCGATGAGGAGATGGGAATTGACGTTGCATTCCACACGTGCTTGAAATTACAATGTAGTGAGGCAGGTGTGCAGCCGCAATTCGTGATAAATGGTAAATGGTAATAGACCAAGCCCCGTGATGCTCATTCCATGCCAAATGATCGGCCGTTAAGCTCAAGGGCACAAGAAACGAACAATCACGGATCCTAAGATGAGAAACCTTGAGAGACTGATCTAGCAACGCTCTGGCGATACCAAATTACACACTAAAGATAATGAAGACCTTACCTTCTCAATCGCTAGAGAGCGGGACAATCCGACACGGCGAGTCTCCCCTTTCTTCTGCTTCTTTCCGAGCACATCAAACTTCTTACGACTCCAGATGGTCTCAAACACGTTGGACCCAGCTTCCTGTGAGGGCTTGCCCTTCTTCTCAATTCCACCTCTCAATTTCTTCTTATTCCTCTTGGCCACAGAGGCAGGCGTGGACAATTTCCTCTTCTTCGCCATCGCTCCTGATCGAAGATTTGACCTCACTCAGCAGCGCAAATTCGTGCAAGTTACATCGACAAATCACACCTCCATGGACCACGTAATCTTCTCCACTCCGCCTCTAATCCCTTCACCTCCCCGTTCTGACCCTGCCCTCTGCGATTATCTTCCTAGGGTTTCTTGTCCCGAAGAATGCCTTTGCTCGTCGCAGGGTTTTAGGAGGGTTTCGATTCTGGAGTCTCGATGAAACTCTCACTTTTGAGCCACAATTTAGCTGAGCTTGACAGTACCGCTAACCTGTTAGCGACGCCATGTATCCACAGTTTCCATGACCACGTGGAGTTGCTGCCGTGGTATCCAACTCCACACCACGTCGGACGTAATGTATCCTTTATGTCCGATGTGTGAGGAACTCCGAGATATTGCTAGGGTTCGCGGACGACACGTGGATGGAGGTTTGCCATGTCATGTGACATGGTGGATGATCCATGGTGGAGGAGAAGGCCAGCGGGGACAAGGTCCATGGTGACACGGGACCGTACGAAGGGGATGATGGGAGGAACGCCTGCTTGTCCGACTGCTCAGCTGGTGCTACGGGTATTCAACCATGGCAGGGACAATGGGCATTTGTCACAGAGCTCACTCATCACTCTGTATCAGGTTGCTCAGAGCCCCACAGCTCCATTACTCGCCTGTACACCGATCCCAGCGATTGTTGATTCCAGGTAATTTTTCTCGTCCGATGTCCGCTGCCGCTCGTCAGTAAAGATGGGTTAGTGAAGTCCGGAACGAATAAATGTCTTTAATGTGAAATTGGTCAATTGACTCCGTTTCGAATGTTGCGTAGAGAATTTTTCTCAGTTGCATTTGCTTGAATCTGATTTTCCTGGCGAATGATTCTTCGAAAGTATGTTGCCTACGAGTGAATCATCGGTGAAGCTGACGATTGTATTGTGCAGACTTTTGTTCGTATGAATTTGAGATAATTCAGTATGGTTGTTGATTGTGTAATCTTGGAAGAAAGTGAGTAGGCCAAGGAAGAACACAACATGCTCCGATGTAATGTGTATGTTTTTTTGAGCAAATCTTTTCAATGATTGGCTGGTTCATACGAGTAATTCAAAGATCAAGGTGTTTTGATTCTTCTGGCGAAGTGGACAAGTCCATCCTGTGATTACAGCTGAATTTTTGTCCGAGGAACTGAGTTTCATTCTTTTCCTCTACCATCAAAACTAATTTTCTCCCTCAAATTTTTTTTGATAACACAAATATGAATAAATACCCAGGCAGTGAAACTATGATTAGGTACCTCATCCCGCTGGATGGTTTGTTTGTTTGTTTCATCTCCTCTCCTGCAATCATGGTGTGGGTACATATAAAGATAAATTAGCTCTTATATGCCAAACATTTCAAGGTCGTCAAATGTGTGATGTCCTAACGTGAAATATATCCGATGTAGGCAGGTGTGTTGGACTTAATTTCTGCACCGTGTCCATGGCTCAGTCCGAGGCAGTGAAGGAAATTGTGTCTGATCAAACACGCGTTGGGTAAGTTTTGATTCTTCGAGTCTTCTGAAAGACATTAACGTTGAACGATTCGCCCATTATCATGTGCTAAGAGCTGCTCAGTGGTAATTTTTTCTTTCATTCTACAATAGCTTATCATGTGTGTATAATCTTAACGTATGTACTTGATGGCTTTTAGAAGTTTTTTAAGTTCAACGCTAATATGAAGCGCTGTCATGTAACACAGATGGATCGGTACTGGCGTCATGGGCCAGGCTATGTGTGGTCACATATTGGCTGCAGGATTTCAAGTTTCTGTCTATAACAGAACTGCAAGCAAGGCTCAAGATTTGTGTTCCAAAGGGGCTACGATGGCTGATTCACCATTATCTGTAGCGCAACAAAGCGATGTCGTATTCACCATCGTAGGGTGAGTTTGATTTGGAGAGATACCTCATATGACTGCTGTGAGCTACCTCCTTGATAGGTATTGGTTCTTAATATCGTAATCGAAGTTTTACTTAATTCTAGTCTATATGTTGGCTTGATGGTGTTCGTGTGGTGTCTTGAAGCTATCCTTCTGATGTGCGGGAGGTAATGCTTGGAGAAAAAGGCATTTTGAAAGGTCTTCGACCTGGGGGAATTGTAAGCATGATTTTTCTCTTGAGTACCTCTTGAAACATGTTGCTTCAGTGAACTCAATATCTAAACTTTGCTGAGTTCTTGAAGCTACCTTTTGTATACACTCTGATTTGGGGTGTTTAACCACTAGCTTGTTCTTTTATAACTGCAGGTTGTGGATATGACAACTAGTCAACCCTCTCTAGCACGTGAACTATCATTGGCTGCCAAAGAAAGGTGAGCTCATTCTTCTTCTGTGACCTTCACATTTGTATTTTCGCCAGCAGTTGTTCGTCTATGAGCCTATCATTTGATTCAATTAGATGCATCACCATGGTAGATATATCTTCCTGAAATTGTGACGATGAAGATGCTATGCTTCATTATTAGGCTTATCTTCAAACTTTGAAACTTTCTTGAACATTCATGTTGTGGTTGGTGAAAAATCTACTTGAAGTGACCAGATCATGTGAATCGATAGACGCACCAGTATCTGGAGGAGACAAGGGAGCCAAATCAGGCACTCTTGCCATCATGGTTGGAGGGGAAAAGAATACTGTACGTTTGTGATTCGCAGATCTTTGAAGCAGAGCGATGTAAAAAGAGCTATCTTTTATGTGAGAGCAATCTTTTGTTCATCCAGACTCAAAGTTTATCTGCAACTCTACCTCACCTTGTGTGCAGTTCGAATTATTGGCACCCTTGTTCAAATGCATGGGAAATGCTACATATATGGGACCTGCAGGATCAGGTCAAAGTTGTAAACTAGCGAATCAGGTGATGATGCTTATCCCTTTTATTTTAGAAGAAATCGAATCCTTTGTCAGGAAGATTCTTCTGTTTGTGATGGCTAAAAAACAAGGGTTGCGTCTTGTGTACCACTATGTCTGACCAGGATACAGGAAAGATTGTATCCTTCAGAATCAAAGTCGGTGAGCTTCGTTTAAATCTATGTTTGTCACACTGTTTGGATTTGTTGTGTTTGTCGCATGTTATCGGCCGGGGACGTCAAAACATTTTTTAAATTTATTTTGTGAATAAATATTATTTTCCTTTTTTTTCAAAGAAAGAACCTGTGTCTATTATCTACGTCTTGTGAAAACTCTCACTTCGAAAGTTGCTCAATTTTATTTGTAAGCAGCAGATGCTGAGATGATTATGTTTGGCCAACCTACTCATATCCTGATTGTGAATCCTTGATACAGGTTACTATTGCCTCAACCATGATCGGTCTTGTGGAGGTACATGCACCAACGTTCTAATTGTGGCCAAACATTTCTTTCTTGGTTCGTACAGTTATTGGCATGAGATAACGAAAGGCATATTGTATGTGGGGTGTTAACTGTATAGCTAGTGCTCTTGGCACTAGCTAGGGATTGATCTTTGGGGTCTTTTCCCTTGTTTGTGGTTTTTCGCGTGTATTGTGTTTTTCAGCCTTTTGACCCTTTGGGTCCCCGGGGCTTGATATATTACCATTTACCATTTACCATTTATATCAGCTCAGGCTAATTCTTTTCACTTCCAATTTGACAATTGCGTGCAGGGTATGATTTACGCTCAGAAAGCTGGGTTGAATGTTGACACGTAAGTTGCAAATCACCTCAATGCTGGTTTTGAATGCCGATGTTTATAGAAAATTATCTGTGTAGATTGAGCATACAAGACTTTGCTCTTATATCATCGCGTGTGCTCTTCCTGTGTTTAAGCGGGTAGACTGCTTACAATTAAGATCAATAAGATTAGGTTACCTTACTCCTTAATTTATATTCCTTATTAATCAACTTGCGCACATTACGATAGTTTCATGCATAATATTGCATGGTTTATAAACAAGAGAAGGTAGAGGAAAAGATTGGATCATCATTCATAACTTCCAAAACCTTCTATGTTGACCCATCCTGTATTTCTGCCACGAGGGCCTTCAACAAGATTGACTTTCAAAATAGACTTGTAGTGCCATTAGAAGAAAAATTCAAGGAACACATCAAACTTAAGCATTCACACTGCTATTACTAAAAACCAGTGGATCTGTAAGAAGTGGCGAGTGTTGCTCTCCATGTGTACTGAAACTTAACTCTTCTGGATTTGTTCTTTGCGATATAGGTTTTTGCAAGCTATTTCCGGGGGTGCAGCTGGTTCCAAATCTTTGGAGCTATACTCTGGTCGCATCAGAAATAGAGATTTTGATCCAGGTAATTATTGAGCTAAAAGTTTTTTTATTTATTTTTTGGGCCTAATTGGGATTGATTAAAGTCGAGCTTCGTAACAGTGCTTGAATTTTCAGTTGACATGCAATGTGGAAATAATTTGCAAGTTTCATAATTTCAGTCGTATGAGATGAGATACGTAGCAGTCTTACAGTTTGGGGCATTTGGTAACTAGTTTCTTACTCCGAATGCGATATTATAATGAGGTCTTGTTGCATCAAGTAAAGACACAGATATTGAAGGATGGATTTTGCAAGTGCAGGTTTCTATGTGAATCATTTTGTAAAGGATCTCGGTATCGCACTGGAGGAGTGTAGAAATATGGATCTAGCACTTCCTGGCCTTGCATTGGTCAGTTGTTTCCCGATATCTTTTGTCTTCTGTGCATTTCCTAGCGTCTGGAGATTGCAAGAGAATAACGGAGATGGGAAGAGATTAACGAATATGATAATCTATACTGTTTACTTTGTTCACTCCTTGCGTCACGATGTTTGTTGAGTAAAGTATATGCTTATCTTTGACTAATGTCTTCAACTTAATTATGCAGGCTCAACAACTTTACGTTTCTCTCAAAGCTCACGGTGAAGGAGCATTAGGAACCCAAGCTTTGATTCTAGCTCTGGAGCGCCTAAACAACATTAAACAGTAGAATACTTGTCGAATATTCAGGAACAACTCACTAGCACCTGGCTGGAAGTGTATTGGTCTCCATTGAAGGGCAACCTTCATATGGTTCTGATCTGCCTGCATTTTACTCGTCGAAATGGATCTGCGACGAAGAAGAAAGCAGGCAAATACCACTCGTGAAGAGCGGAAACATATTCAGCAGATGCAGGTCCATACACAACTAGATCCGCCTAGGCGGCTGCAGCGTAGTTGGTAGTCTCAAGTAAATTGTGTACATACTGTGGCATTGAAGAAGAGACTCCACCTGCTTTCGTCGTTTGTCAGGTTTTTTGCAAAGGTAAGATGGTCCGGGGTCTACATGAGGGTCTACATGAGGAGATGTTCAAGTGATGAACGATAAAACACAAAGTTACTACGATTTTCATTTTGGGGTCGGTAGGCGAACATGTATAAACCTTTAAGGGTCATAAGGTAAAGTATATTTCCCTCATAGTAGAGGCCAACCAACTCAAGGAAAAATTATATTTAATTCTCGTCCTTCGCTTCTACAAAGATAGACCGCTGTGTCCATGCTCACTGAGCACTGAGATGGCGCGTCGAGGAGTGCTCTAAGAAGTGGTTTCCAAATAAGCTGACGTATGAGGGAAAAAGGGGTTCAAACCAGAAATCTTGAGCAGGAGAAACTGTTGTCCGTGTCCCGCGGCCCCTGCCGGCCAGACGATAACGTGTCGTGAACGTCATCAACCCTAGCGGGGTCCATTCAAGTAGATGCCACGGTACAGATGAGAGGACAAATGTGCAGAAAGAGCCAAGGAGGCATTGTCTATTTGATTCACTGACGTTCCACTGCCACGGAGCACGTCTGAAGAGAAGAGGATATCACTTATCTCATTCATCTTTTGGTTTGAAACACTCTTTTGCCAAAGTGAAAATAATGGAGGTAATTAACTACGCATGATTACTTGTAACTACGCATGATATTGCGCATCTACGTGCACTCTTAGCATCGTGGTGTATTGACCAAAACGTCAAAACTTAGCTAATTTCAGTTATTTTCATATTTTCAGTGAGTTGTTTCGGCAACGTCTGCACATCCTTCAGGACTGTGTGTAGACTCCAGAAGTAAAATTGCATTTTATGTCTAGACCCCGAGTCTAGACATAAAATTCAGCAGGCAAAGTTTTGAGCATGAAATTCATCCTGGGAACATCGATGTGTGTATCTTTCAACAACATTGTATCGGAGTGATCCATTCTACAGTAACCCACACATTTCGTGAATGTACTCTTACTATTCCAAAAGAAGGTGGCACTATCAACAATCCAGGGCTGACTCATGGCTGAGAAGGTGTCGGCCAGAAATTTCTTGACTGATTGATTAGCTTTATGGAAACATTCAGTAACTTCCCCAAAGTTGTGGAGAGCTGGAAGTAACTCCCTAGGGTTTGCTTCGTCCACACCTCTGGTGCTGAACACGTGTCACTTCGTGAAGTGAGTGAATTGAGTACGAAGCTCGAAGATTTCCGCAGGGACGGGGAAGAAATCAATCGGGTGAGTGTCGATCGTAACGCTCTACAGTGCGATTGTAGATTGCTGGCTGTCGACCATGCTGCCTTACCCATCGAAATGAGAAAAAAAACCAAAAAGAGATCGACGAATCTCAATCATCTGTGCGATTTCACTACCAGCACCTGGCATACTCTGACGATCAATAACTAGAACCGTAAACCGAGAAAGGCGGGTTGAAGATTATGGGAGACTGATCGAGATACTTCCGATGATCTGTTCTCCGCAAGGAGTGTTGCAGGTCAGTACATCAGGCAATTCAGTGATGCTATCCACTCGTCGATGTCAGATGATCGTTGCCTTGAATCTTTCATACAGATTTGAAATACGCATAAAGTCGGTAAGGGCAATGTCTGAACGATAGTTTCCTCAGATGTGCAGCAGCTCCGCTAGAGTCTGATAATTCTAGCTGCTAGTAAGACGAGTCTCTGTGAATTGTTTCAAATCTTTAAAGAATGTGATGATAGTGGATCCATGCAATCAGTGATTACGATGAGATATTTACTGGGAAGTGATGTGGAGCAGCTGAGCAATTTTTGAGGCGCGTCTACGGTCTCAAAGGACTATTCCCGCATCGTTGACCCTTTCATATATTTTTGATTATGTATCCACTCTGCTGCATATTGACCATCAATTTCAGAATATTTTCACTCATACTCGTTGCTCAATGCTTTGACTCCGGTACGCAGGTATAGACAGTCTTCAAATTCTAGATTTGCAACAACGATGAAGGGGTTCATGTCTTCACCGATGTCCAAACATACTTTACTTGGAGAACTTCTGTCTTTGGGGATCGAAAGGACCACCACAGGGTGTTTGCAAACTAGTGGTCCATAACGTCAATTGATGACTGTAGTGGCATATGAGTTCTTCCGTAATCCCTTAAAGTTTCGCTTGCGGAGCTGTGGGATTAGGAACAAGAGACTGGAGGTATGGCATTGCGTAGGCAAAGCACGAGTAGTACGGTCACCTCCAGAAGCAATCCTGGGATGTCCCAGGGAGACGAAGATGGAGGACAGAAACAGAACAAGCCGGTTAGTCTTCGTTTCTCATAAATTATCCTTTAGTCTTGGTAAATACTAAAGCGAGTGTATGTCATGTAAGCTCTTGTTTCAGTATTCTAGCACCAGCACATGGATGCATGTCGGAAAAAGTCAGACCTCTTCACAGCGATGTAGGATGAGGGGACCATCAAGTTTTACAAGATTGTTCGTAACAGCAATTCATGACCAAATGATCAAGCAGTTTTCTCTGGAGCTTTAATTAGAACTCCAATTTTTTTCGGTCTATCGGTCCTTGCTGAAAATCTTTTCCAAATCTTCTACAATGATAATTTATTGATAAAGATGACAGTGCCACTTGAAAAATCATCATATGACCGAAGACTCTGTGTATTGATTGCAGCTGCAGGAATGGCTGGAGGGGATATCAGAGAGGATGATGAAGCGTATAGATACTGTCGGAGATGAGGTTCAAAAGATCGTGGACGAAATGGGTGCAGTGGAGTTAGATCTGAAGAACACATTCAACAGTTTTCGATGTCTTTCAAGCACACAATTTGTTGAAAATGTAAGTATGATAACAATCATTTCAATGTCACACTGATGTAGGCCTTCCATACTCACAGCTCTGATAAAGATTTGCACATCAGCATGTCATCACATCTTGTTTACATCTGCTCTATATTCACTTAATGTTTGTGCTTTTAACGCTCATACCATTGCTTATCGCACTCTTCTGCGCAGCTTCACTTCCTACCCTGATGGCCATTGATCATTGTTTGATCCATTTTGCCTACACGTTCTTCTGTACGTGCTATTTTTTTTATACGTGACCTGGCATGTATTCAGCGTGTGTATGAAGAGGACGAGACAGAATCAGTTAGAGCCGAAACTCCTGCCAAAGATTCTCAGCATCCATTTGCGCCTACGGAGAGCTATGAGGATGAGATCCTACCACGTTACAGGGATGCCGTGTCAACCGCTTGGGCAACTTTCCAAGAGATCAGTCACCAACATGATCAGGCATCCCGCAGGCTTAGGTCTCGAAACAAAGTGTTGGTACGTTTTTTTCAATTTAGCACTCAACTAATGCTCTATTATCAACGTCATCTTGTACTCTTAAGAAGTTCAGATGTATTATATTAAGTTTCACAACACAACAACTATCTCTCGAATGCTCTTTGTAGATCGTTACAAATGAAGCATATGGATAATTAGAAATGTTGAATTTGTTCCCAATCCAAGGACCTAAGAACTACCTCGAGAAATCTTAACAGCTATTCAATGAGACCAGAATTACAAGGACGTGCATGATTCGCTAAAAGTTAAGATTAAATGCCTTTGTTATCAAGTTGGGATATGGTAGGAAAGTCGCATCACAAGTCGCAGTTTTCTGCTTCAGAGATAAGTGAGTATCAAAAGGTTTTGCGGAATGATCATATAATTTGGTTATGGGCTAATTGTGATATACTTTTGTGGGTTTTTCAGAGAAACTTGGATTATGATGGACATCTTCATCTTGTACCCCATATTATAGGAACCGATGAGTTTGCACGAGACGCGCAATGTGGCCTTGCAGGTTGTTACATGCACTCTCTTGTTGTGTTAAGTGTTCAATCTGTAACAATCTTATCCAAAAGTGGAGCTGCCAAGATGGACAACTTGCGGGAATGTTGCAGCTGACCGACCTGACATTTTGAAGTCGTGTTCTCAGATTTAAGACACAAGCGTCCAATAGTTGATGGGTTTGAGGTAGACAGCGACACCGAGAGAGAAGGGGCCGATTTGGCTGCAGAACTTGTTGGTGCGGGGAGTGTGTCTGAAGGCGAATGGTCCGACCCTGAAAGCGATTTGGGTGATCAGGTACTGGCACTTACTCATTTGAAGCTAGTTCATGTAGTTGCTCAGTGATGAGAATATTGGTGCAGGGAGAGATAATAAAAGATACATTATTCACCTCTTGAGGGTATTTAGTACCTTAACTTCTGAGGGTGATTTGTAAAGCATGTTAGATTCTTACTGTCATAAACAGTCACAATACTAACAGATTGGAATCTGAACTTCACAGGGAGATGGTTTCGAACCTGCCGTGTCTGCCGCTCTGGATTTCAAGGCCATGCTTGAAGCGGCTCTTCGGAATCCATCCTTGCCATGTATGTGTAGATACCCTTCACTTGGTTATGAGATTGCAGAGATAAGCTAATTCGTGAGTAGCAAGCGTCTTCCTTTATTCCAAAGGTGACCATTAGGCTTGTGTTGATAATTCAAATACTGTTTGTCATTTGGTACGCAGGCGGTTGAATGTTGACTCGTACTTGTCATGCTTAAACTTTTTATTTGTTTAAGAATCCACTTTTGATCGTCAATCTGTTCTCAAAGTATCTGTACATGTTGTGTATCTCAGATGATGGTAATACATCCACCGAAGATGTTGACATGTATGGACAAGGAATTGACAACGACTACTTCCTTTCGAATGTAACCATTGATAATTATTACGGTTCTCCCAGGTAGAAATGTTTTTCTTTCTTTTCTTCCGTCTTAAAGATTATTCTTCTAGATTATCGAATTTCGAAGCTGCGGGATGTCAAAGTACAGTACATAGATATGTATGAGGTAGAAACATTCTTGTCAAGAGATCCGTGGGACTCCGTAGGAATGATTGATGTCCTTTTGAGTGAAGTGCATGGAGTGGCCTCAAATCATGCTGTGTGAAGTTCACTGGCAGGACCATATCAAGGACGGTGGAGACTGGAGATCACCGTGCGAGCGATGACACAACTGCGAATAAGGATACACGTGACCCTGGCGATTGGCAGCTGACAGCGAGTCATGTTCCTGCAAATATTGCGGTTCAAACTACAGCAGATTCTTTGGATAACATCACTTCACAGCCATTGCAGCCTGGTCGAGTACGTTCATAACCATAAGACCAATGTTTCCTTTCTCAAATATCTCTTTATCAAGGTCTAAATCTGTTGTGCTTTCTCCTTAGCTGCTTACAATCAGGTCTAGTTCTTTAGCAGAAAATTTCACGAGTTTAATTAAAGACTATTCACAGCAGTGTTGCCGGGATAGGATGGATTCCACATTTAGCCAAGATTTGTATTGTTTCTGTGATTTGAGTAGCTGAAAGAACCGAGAGTGAACTTGGCCTTACAATTGTCTACTGCTCAGATATTTCCAATATTTGTCAAGATGATTCTCTTCTGTTTTGTTTATGCATTTCACTGTCGTCTATTCCGGCTGGAATAAACTTTCCAACAAGTATGTTTGTGCTTGTTCATTTGGATTTTATTGAAAGCAAGATAGGCACTGAGTTCAAAGACTGGATACAGTCCTTTTTAGCTTGATGTCCACGCTGTAGGCAGTCCATTGACTAGTGCTCCGGTTGTTTTATTCAGGCTGAGCAACCTTATAGAGATACAATGGAAGAGCTTTTGAAGAAGCCGTTTATGTTGAAGACTCAAAATCCAATGGAGGAGGATAAGTTGAATAATTCAGAGACAAATGTGCCAGCTGAATACAACAGCTTATCGAACCTTCCGTATATACCGGGTGGGTTGTTTGACGACGACGAAAGCGATACGGTGTCTATCGTTGGAGAATTTGCCAATGTTAGTGACAGTAACACAGAACCCACGATCCCCGAAGGACTGTTTCAAAGGCATCCACCTCCAGGTGCAGCTGAGCCTAGTCAAGAACAAGCTCGAAGTTCCAGTACTGTGGATCACTCTACGTCTCCTTTACTGGTGCCTCCGTTCACAACTGGAAGGCAGCCCTCCAACGTAGACATCACTTCCTTGTTCAAAGGTCAGGACAACAAAGGACCTACGAAACTAAAGATTCCAGATTCCTCATCCTCACTCGGGAATACGGAAAACATCTCTAACAGGTCAAACACTTCGAACGGCTCCAGGGGACAATTTACTTCTCAATCTATCGTTCGACCCCAAGTTCGTGGAGGCTTGTTCGATGATAGTGACGATGATGAAGAAGACACCGGGAATCTTTTTGGAGTGACAGATTCTGGCATCGACAGTCAGCCTGGTTTGAGAACGTGGACCTCTGCCAGTAGCAAAGGCCTCTTTGACGACCTTGAGAATGAGGATGCCACAGACCAAAACCTGTTCAGACAACCATCAGGGTCTAGTCACGAAGGCCGGAACAACGACGATGTGTCCTCCGTATTACGCAAGGTCATGATACCAGGGCCAGCCACAGGCCGTTTACCTCAGAGGCAATCTTCTTGGTCTAGTAATTCCGATGGTTCTTCCGATCCCCTACAGAAACAAATCTCTGGTTCTAGTCCTTCCCCAAGTGCTTCGGACCGCAACCTTAGACAATCTCTCAGTTCTAGTCCCTCAGGAAACACACTTCAGAGCAAGCCGAAAATATCTTCTAGTTCTAGTCTTTCTGAAAGCTCTCCTGATCCTCTCCAGAGACAATCTCTCAGTTCTAGTCCCTCAGGAAACACACTTCAGAGCAAGCCGAAAATATCTTCTAGTTCTAGTCTTTCTGAAAGCTCTCCTGATCCTCTCCAGAGACAATCTCTCAGTTCTAGTCCCTCACGAAATGCACCTGAGAGCAAGCCGAAAATATCTTCTAGTTCTAGTCTTTCTGAAAGCTCTCATGATTCTCTCCAGAGACAATCTTTAAGTTCTAGTCCCTCACGAAATGCACCTGAGAGCAAGCCAAAAGTATCCTCTAGTTCTAGTCTTCCTAGAAGCTCACCTGATCCTCTCCAAAGACAATCTCCGAATTCCAGTCCCTCACGAAATACTCCTACTCGAGACCCAAAACCATCTTTTAGTTCCAGTCCTTCTGGAAGTTCACCTGATCCTCTACAGGGACAGTCCCCCGGTTACAATCTTACTGCAAGTAAACAAGATCGCATTCATGAACAGGTCTTCGATCCTACTCTGTCCGAAAGTACCATAGATCGTCCTAAAAAACCGTTTTCTGGCACCAATTTATTTGGAAGTTTTACAAGTCCCACCCAAACGCAGCCTTCTCGTTCCTCTTTAGTTGAGAGCGTTCTAGATCGCACAAGCATAGACTCTAGTCCTGTAAAATATGAGTTTAAGGAGGATAGTGGTGAAGACAAACCTGTTGAACCTCATCCGAGTCTTGAGTCCTTGCTGGCAGCTGGTATTAGGCCAACTGTCCATTCAGCTGTAGACTCTTCAGATGATTCGGATGCTTGGTCGAGGTCTGAAAGTGGTGATGAGGGTGATGGTGATGTTGACACGTCTAGCCGAGGAAAGCCAGACTCACCAAAGTCATATAAGGGTTTCGGAGCCACTGCAGAAAGTTTTGCATCAAATTATGAGGAGAAGAGTTTATCGGATTCTGATGGGGCCAAGCAGCCAGCAGCAGAACCTACTGTCCAGCACAGCAGATCATCTTCGGTAGAAACTGCCTCTATGGTCTCCGTCCCGGAGTACACATTAAAAAGTCCTTTATTTCCTCTTCGATCCCATGATAGTTCTGCATCAAGTCCCTCAAGGTTGGATCCCAACTTCAACTACTTTACTCCCTCTACGTGTATGGTGGTTCTATAGGTTCCTAGTTTTTGGTGGTAATTTTTTTAGCGCAAACTACAAATACGTGATACTTCCCTCGAAATATTGGAGTGCATTTTCAGACATTTCTCCCCTCCCATCTGTGTCCGAGTTTCATTTGTCGATTTCATATTGATCAAGTAGATGAGCATACACAACCTCGTCTTTACATTTGTTACATTGTCGTGGAAGGTGTTGTGGATGGTATTGCACACATTAGTGCAATAGTTATATCTCATAGAGCAGATCTTTACCAAGCCGTCTCCATTATGCCACATGCAGGCCAAGAAGAACTTTCTCAGACTTACAGGATTTGGAGATGCCAGAGGAACAACCTCTCAAGCCCCAGAGTCCTATTGAGGAGGCAATTAGACCAACTTATGCATTCATCGACAGAAGAACAAATCTTGGTGCTTCCAGTATCACTGATGATGGTGAGTAGGGCCTGAGGGGTTGGTATTAGATATATGAAGTTAGGACCTTTATTTTACTTGAGCAATTGTCTGGACTCTCGTTCACAGTGTCATGGTGATCAATAGTGTCAGGAAATCGTCATCTGATCTCTTGGTGGCTACAGATGCAGGGAAATTGACTCACACGACATTATCACGGCCCTTGGGCCCTGCGAAGCGTAGGGCTCCTTCACCTATCAAACCTTTGAAGAGTACACAAAGTTTACCTGTTCAAAGTCCACCGCGACAGATTGACACACTCCCAAGGAATGTATCACAAAATGTATTCTCAGGCCGTGATCTGACTGCTCCTAAAATTGACATCGGACGGTTAACTACTGGACGAGCATTTACCTCTCTTTTTGACGAGGATGATGGCGATGACGATCTGTTTGGTTCAGAGCTCCCTCCAAAGCAGAGCAATTTGCAGATAGGCCCAAAACTTCAACAGACCAAGTCACCTCTGGATCTACCTGTTCCACAGAACATGACACGAGATGAAGTCAAGGGACCTTTTCCTACTGTGAAGAGTAGTAGGTCTCCTGAAGATCTCTTCCACACCAGAGAACGAGATGAACCTGCGGAAGTTGCTTTGAAGCCAAAGTCTCCTTTAGATCTCTTCCAAACCACAAGGCGAGATGTTTCTAAGGAAGTTGCTCACCCGGAGAGGAGCAAAATGCCTCTGGACCGCAATGTGGATCTCCAAACAACGACGGCTCGAGACATAGAGAAGGAAGAAGATCCTTCTCCAGCGAGGATTCGTTCACCATTACCGTCCAGGGTTCCCACTGCCTCACCTGCCAAGATATCTGGTCTTAAAGCAGAGGATGCTAAGGCACCTGCGGGAAGACCTGCGTCGAGATTATCATCTCTTCTATTCGGTGATGATGATGAAGATAACGAGGATGCATTGTTCGGGCCACTCCATGAGAAGTCTTCTCGGGGAAGTAAAGATTGGTTAGCATCATCATCGTCTTTCAATCCAGCTAGGCCGACATCGTCTTTCAATCCAGCTAGGCCGACTTCATCTCGACGCACCTCTGGAAGTTCTTTGTTTGATGATTGATTGTGTATGCTCTGTATCTAGAATCAATTATTTGCCGACCGGGACTCGGCGACTCTTGACTCAGTAATAAGTGAATTGAAGTAGAGTGAAGTTATTTGACGATTAAAAATCCAACTGCACGCTGAATCAGTGTGGCTTCCATATCACGTCGGCTCGTTCTGAGCACCTGATTTCTGTCCATGAAACAAGCACCTCATGTTGCGAATTCTGAAGTATCTGTTGAGGTATGAAGTAAACCGCAGTTTTGTAGGCTTTTGTACAGTTCATATGCATGGTCCTGGAAGAATGTAGGATCTTTCATGCCTATTATTTTTTCTGTATTTCATCACGACGGAGTATGTACGATAGATAGTGCCTAGTGCGCCAGCTGAAATTCAACGAACTTCAGTAGAAGGTGAGCTTTGAGAAGTACACTGGTAGACAGCTATATAGTACCTTTAAATTTTATCATCAAATCATAATCACGAAGCTCAAAGCTCGTACATCCACTGTATATGGAACGAGTTAGTTGGTTGTGATCTGCATTTTCAGTACTGCTCTCTTGGACTTCGAGTTGATTCGTGATCGTTTAGCTTCAGTCAAGTAGGCTGTCTCCTTCACTCCATATGTGACATTCTCCAACAGTGTGCGGGCCTTAATTAGGACTAATCACAGTTTATGGAGGCTTTAATGAAATCTTGTTCTCGGTCGAAATAAATCAATATTTTGTACATCTATGTTGAGAATCTGTATACTTTCACAGTTACGAATCCATACTCAATAGCTGGTTTTGGCATGTTTCGATTTCTCTCATATTGTGTACATGAATGTTTCTGGAAATTAAACTACAACAACATGCAGATGATTTTCATGGAACATTGCAAAATAGGGCAACAGGAAATGATTACAAAGAAGTGAATCTAAGATGTCTCCTGACACTGGATTCGTTGGCAGCAATCCTTCACACCATTTTCGCCGAGGACCTCAAAGTGCATCATCATATCACGTCCTTTGAACCGTATGACTGTCATTCCACTAAATACCTAAGAACGATGATGAGGAGACCGACAAATAAGAGAAGATACAGTGAAATAGTAACAGCTGTCGGCAATAACAAAAGCTATCTCTGTAGCACAGTCGCTCAGCGGAGCTCGAGTCTATGGTTGCTAACATCTCAGAATAGCCCTCGTGTGCTATGAGTCTGCACCCGGCTGCTTCCAAGTGTAATGTGAGGCAGTAGATTGTTTGCAATAGGCGATCAACTGTCTTCAGGAGCCAAGCTTAGTTGGATCCTTAGTGAGGTAGACACTAATCCATCTGAAAACTGCAGGAGCTCAATGCGTCAGATATATCAGCTATTAGAAAGCATGCAGATGGTATAATATTTAGAAGGTCTTGGAAGTTCAAAGTAAACAAATGTTTGTCACACTTGTCCATGCCCAAACCCATTTATGCCCATAGTTCTGGCGGCCATGAGTTAAACATTATTGTTCATGGGTGAGCAAGGGTGGTTACTGTTTCGAGATGGATTTAGATGTGCATAGCTTCCAAATGATTATGTAACCCATGCCCATCTCTTTCATGTCATGTCTAACTAACTTCTTTGTCATGTAAATACAATGTATTAACATGTGATCAATCAGCGTCTTGTCACACAAGACCTGAAACTCACCCTGGAATTCTGTCCCTTGATCGTTCAACACCTCAACTGGTGCACCAAAGTGACTAAGCACTCTGTCAAGGAAAGCATATGCTATTTCCTCACTCGCTTTGTCAGGTAATGCCACCAACTCAATCCACTTGGAGAAATGCTCCACCATCACCAACACATACCGATGATGTCGTGCAGTCAAAGGTAGTGGTTCAGCAAAGTCCAAACTCCAACGGTAACCCAATCCCATGATAGGTAAGGGATGTAACTCTGGTGTCGGGGCATTGAACGATGCACTCACTCGATCACAAACCATACAACGTGATACCAACTGCTGTACCTGCGTATGCATACCACGCCACCAATACTGACCAAGGAGTAAGCTGTACGTACGTTTCACTCCAAAATGTCCCAACTCCTCATAAGCATGCCTCACAGTGCGTGCTCTCTGAGTTGGATGCACTACTACTCGTACCCTATCGTCCTCCCACACTCGGAGAACATGTGCTATCTCCAATCGGTATCTCTTCGCCCGTTGGAGAACACGATCTCGCTCCTTGGCACCCACTGTGCCTGGCACCATACTGGTCCGTAGGAACTCCAACACCAACGCATCATCGTGAACATCACGCTGGTCCACACCACCATCCTCAACCTCAGGATCCGAAGACTAACTATCTACTCTCTGACTAGAGTAAGATGTCAAATGGTCCTCACTGTTAGAGGCTCCACGTAACAAACACATGAAGGCAGATGCATGCAAACCGGGCACCATCTCCTCATCAACCTCACCATGCCATCTAGCTCCAATGTCATCCTCTGGCTAGTGCATGAGTTCCAAATCAAACCGTCGGCATCCACGTTCGCAACTCCAGGCCTATGCATCACCTGAAAGTCGTACTCCTGTAAGATGAGAGCCCACCGTGCAAGCTTCCCAGTGAGCTTGTAAGACTCCATCAACCACTTGAGCGGTTGATGATCAGTAACAAGGGTAAACTGCGTACCAAACAAGTAACACATGAAGTGTGCCACAGCCCACACCGCTGCCAAACACTCTCCCTCGTACGAACTATACCGCGACTCTGCTGCATTGTTCGAACGATTAGCGTACGCAATCACAAACTCCTTGCCCTCATCATCACACTGCGTCAACATCGCTCCAAGTCCCAACATACTTCAATCAGTGTGCAACTGGTATGGACGACCTCTGATAGGTCTCCTCCAGATGGGAGCGGCCACCAACCTGGCCTTGAGCTCAACAAAAGCTCTTTCCTGCTCATCTTTCCATTGCCACTCCTGATCCGACTTCAGCAACTGGTTCAAAGGCTTCGTTATAGCACTGAATACCTTCACATACCTCCGGTAATAGTTCGCCAAACCCATGAATGCACGAACCCTACTCACATCCGCCGGACGAGGAATGTGCGCAATACCCTCCACCTTTGCCTGCTGAACTCCCTACCCACCTGGGTAGATCACATGACCCAAGTACTCCACCTTCTCCTGGAAGAACCTACACTTCCCAGGATGTAACCGCAGACCATGAGCCCTCAACCGCTCAAGCACAATCTGCAAATGTATCTGGTGTTGCTCCACCGTGTCGCTAAACACCAAGATATCATCAATGTAACATCTGACGAAATTTAGCCCCGCTAGAATCCTGTCCATCACTCTTTGGAACTCGACAGGTGCATTCTTCAACCCAAAGGGTACGAATCGCCACTGATACAAACAATCCTTGCCGTGGGAGTTGACAGCCCAAAACGATGTCTTGGCCTTGTCCTCCTCCCGAATCGGCAACTGCCGATATTCTGCCCGAAGATCCAAAGTACTAAATATCCTCGCATGTCCCACCACATCGAAGATCTCCTCAGGTGTAGGCATGGTATACTTATTGGCATTCGTCTGCCGATTGATATGACGGTAATCTCCACACATCTGCCTATCCGTGTAGTTGCCATGTACATCCTTATTCGCCGACATAACAGTGGCTGAAGCATACTCACCATGCGACAACTCCACTAACCCAGCCTCCAATAACTTCAACGTCCGATTCCGAATCATGACACGTGTGACTAGCATGGAAATCACATAGTGTGAGAGTAATTAACATTGCGCAAGTTAATCGCTTCATGCTTGCACTAGAGAATACTTGTGAATCTTTCAAAAACTTATTCTTGAGAGTTTATCAGAAATGTGTATTGAGATGGAAACATCTAGCTCTAGTTTACTAACTACACAAGTGATGAAGAAGGAACTACATCAAAAATTGCCAAATGAAGTAAATGGTGTATTTTTGCTCCACAATTTCTTTGAATTTTGCTCTTTGGTAAAAATTCGGCAATGTGCAGCAATATGATAAGTTTGTGAGTACGCAACGTGTTTCACCTGCAAGAAAGTATACATGTTGAAGAAAACCACGAGCATCATCACCATAATTAATGATAAATGTACTAAGGCTGAAAGATCAAATAGTGGAGCAATATATGTATTTGTAACAAAGTGTATCTCCACTACTCATGATAAAAAGAAGATGACGCTTGTGGTTGCAAATTTTTGTGCAATTGATCTCCTACCATTTCAATCGATAATCGGACAAGATTTAAAAAGTCTTGTTCAAACAACTCTTGACATGAGTGTTACAAATAATAAGCCCTTCATGATGATGACCTATTGTGTCAACCAGTTACCACCAAACGCATTATAGAGACTTGCTATATGAAGAGTTGTGCTATAGTGGCAAAGTGTCTTAAAAAATACATTGATATTGACATATGTATGACAATCATACTTGAACTCCACATGAATAGTATTAAAAATGTAGCTTACATATCTTTCACAGCACATTACATAGATAAAACATTTGCTCTGTTTGATCAAACATTGCATGTGAAGCCTGTTTGATATGAGAGACACACAACCACTTTGTTTTTGGATAAATTTAACATCTTTGATATCAAGGATTTGATGTTCGATAAAATCATTGTTTTTGCAGATTGTGAATCTATTATTGTTAGCAAAGATGACATTTCAAACAAGCTTGACTTGTTAGAATGCATTGATGATAAAATCGTGAATTGTTTGTACTAAACACGATCATGAAAGAGGTTGATAGTAAAAAGGTTTGTTTTTTTATCATCGACTTGATTAAAAGAGCAAGACTTTTTACCTATACCTTGATGAGTTCAACATGACAGCTCAATACACTTTTATTGATGTCGGTAAGAGTTTGGTCTTATATTCTATAAAATCAAATCTTCAATCAAAGTTGTGAAAGACACTGAAACAAGAGAATACAACCCGATGAAAGTCGCTATATTATTGCTTGCTTAGTGTATTGAAATGTTAAATGATGTTATCTATTTACTAGAGTAAAAAGATGCACTATGGAAAGTTGACACAATCTTAGAGATCTTTTTGAAACAATCAATTGACTTGTTGGCAAAATTTCAAAATTCAACTCTAGATCTTAAACAATTCAAAGAGTCTACACTACACAATGTTGTATTTTGGCAATTTCAATCGTTGAAGCATGTAAACCTATTATCAATGATGTGATTAACGACAATGATGATGTTAGGACTAGCAAAAACTCCCCTTCAATCATACCTTGTAATTCTCTCTTGAAATTCTTATTGCAAGAAAAGATGGAATTTGATGTGCTCCATGTTGTAGCAACACATTTAGATATTGTCATGAAAAACTACATGCACAATATGGAAATTCCCAGCACTTTAGTTATTAAGTCAAAAGCAAAATTGAGGTCACTTATGATGTGTTTGATTGACACTTGGAAGGTTTTGGCAAATTATGATCACGAGAAAGATTATGCATTAGCCCCATCACAAAAGAAGTGTCTTACTATGACATGACATCTATGTACAATGAGTTTAAGTAAGAGTTAGAAGAGTATCATGGCAATGGGGGTAATTACTTAGCTATTAGCAACCTCGACGCTCATATTGGGCTTGAGTTCAGCATGTATGAGATATACAAGTTCATTGATCTCAACAAAAATGAGATCATTGCAATAGTGAGCTCAGCATTTTATTGAAATGGATACTATTAAATGTTTACTTAAGTGCTAAATTCAGTATTCTCTTGGGGTGGAAGCAGAAAGTAGATTCCACATTCCTCATCATGTCAGGATTGGCGCATTCGGTTTTGTCCATCCCCACATCCACCTACAAATCGGAGTCAAACTTCTCAGATGTAGGGAATATATTAATCAAGAAGTGCTCCAAGCTGAAGATAGGAGTAGTAAACGACAATTTGTTTGTTAGATTCAAGCAAGAGTTGGTGTATGCGGATAATACACACTACACTATTTTTTAATACATGGGAGAAATTTGAAGAGCATGGGTGGACATAGGTTGCTGCTGATTGCTATTGTCTGGGTAGGGATACAATTTGAAGTATAATGTTGGCCTTTCCCGTATAGAAAACACCTTAATTTGACCCAAAAAAAATAACCAGCTTTCAATAAGAAAGTTTCATCTCAGAAAATAAAACTTTACCAGCGATTCTGAATAGCCCCACTGATGCAGTATATAAGTTCTACTTCTTAAATAACATTATTACATGCGGATGCAATATTCTAGATTATGAAAAATTCTCATAAAGTCAAAGTTTTTTTTTCTCCATCCATCTAAGATATGCGCAAGATAGTCGAGAAAATGGAGTATCGCATCTTAACTAAGAAATTGACTGGATTTTTCTCCTGATCTGAGCAAAAAGAGTTTAAGGCTTTTATTGCCAGTAAGCTATGACTGATATGATAATGGAGTCAATACCAGTTGGCTCCAAAGCTGTTTAATGTCTGATGCCTCTTGTTGCTTGGTGCGTCCACTATCTTGTGTACCATGTACTCGTACCCTCATTCATGCAAGATAAATAGGCCAAAGATAACATCCTACCGAGCACAAACCTCTGGAGTTAATCTTTGCTAGAGTAGGTGCTTCTTTGAGATTTGTTCCAAAGTTTTCATAGTCTTCTCCCCTAAGTAGTTCGCCCCGCAAGAACTCCCTGATTTCGCTGGGTATAGAGCACCATCAACATACGTGACAGGTAAGTTTGTGTTGACAATAAGTTCTGAGTAACGTTTCCATACCTTGGATGAGAGCCAGCAATAAGGTCCCTTGCGACCACAACAGTTACTTTGGGCGATGTCTGAAGTATCCCTTGAACCATTATACCGTAGTGAAGTTCGTGACTAGGCTGTAAAGGGCAAGTTAGCAACTCTAAAGTTTTGATTTTCTGGTGAAGCATGCAGTGTTGTTGAATCTATTTCCAAGATCTCAGAGCGCGGTTAGATACAGATTCACCAGTTGAAGGCATCATCAGTTCAAATTGCCAAATATAATCTGTAAATCAGGCTAAGATAATTGAAATATCGGGAAAACTCCAACATATATACGAGTATATCTTTATAAGATATAGTTAGGAGAAGACATCTTCATGTTAAAATTCTTCAAATATCTAGACCTTTGACAAAAATAATGTTGAGTTTACTCCAAAACATGTATTATTGTTATCTAAAGATGTGTCGAAATTTTCGACCACAGTAACTTTAAGAAAGAAAATTCTAAACCGGAATGATTGAATCATAATATGTTCTCTTACGTTTGCCATGCTTGTAGTCTACTTCCTATTTTCTTCATGCTGGTGATTTGCATCCCTATGTCTTTCTTGAACATAACACAGGTCTCAATTCAGATGTAACTCGAATCAATCGAAGTTATTCCCAGTAAAGAAAATGGAGAAGTTGAATTTACCACTTATTATGTGACTTCTTTAAAAATTCATGGAAATTGCTTTATTTAATTATAACACTTACTCTCTGCCAGTAATTTGATACTAATACTGAGGAGGACTGCAGATACATCACTTTTGCTAAGTCACAAGCAGGAGCAATATAAGTGGTCGATGTGCGGTAAGAAGATGGAGTTGCAGCAATCATTTGGTTGTTTTGCTTGTATTTCAGGTTACGTAGGGTGATGGAGTTGTCCAAAAGGAATGTTTTACAGCCTCTTTCAACGCCTGTACATCACAGAACACTGTCATTCGGACTGCACGTAGATAGTGTACAATGCCTGCAATCCATATAAGCGAGACTTGATAAAAGATGGGCTAGTAGTGTGACTCTGGTTGACCCTTGTTGACTTGTGTTTGAAAAAAAACCCTCAGGTATTACAAGGGATCCCATCGTCACAAGACCTACTCGCGATGATTGATGTGGTATTGTGTAATATAGCCAAAAATGGGACGACAAATGATGAAACCAAAGGGATAAGATGGAGCTAGGGCCCAATAACATCACAATGGGAACTATGTAATACTGCCGAAAATATCCGAACTTACTCATCGCATCACTAAAGATATTTTCTTTAGAAAATTTTCAGACTATGGCTAAAAAAACTTTACGTCCATTTGTGACCCTTTGTGTACGCAGAGTAGACAAAAAGGCTCTGTGATTGTAAGCCATAAACCTTTTAAGGAGCGAATGTCGACTTCCTGGATGGTTCAGATTCGACGAATGAGGAAACAACGATGTCACAACAGGACAAATTTCATTTGTAAGCAGACGCACATAACTACCAACCGTTAAGGATGTCATTGAAAGGAATGTAAGAAGTATGGACGTGGGCATACGTTGATCTTAGGTGAAAAAGAAGGGAATCGCAAACTAAGACTGAAGGCTTGCTTGAGTTCTCGATCGGTATGGGCAGTATATAGATATGGAAGAATCTCAAAAACTCTGGCCTTCAAAGTCCAGCCAAAACAAATGTCTCCTACAAGTACCTATCCTTTGTATGAGGCAATGAAGGATTGCTCAATATATACAACTAACCTCAAAAAAATTGGATAGCAGCTTCATAGCAGCTTTTAAATACGCATCACCTTTTGTACAGTTGGCTTTCAGGTCCAACATCTACAAGACAGGAACCTGCTCTTGTTTGACGTATTTAGTATACAGTTGAGAAAATTTAGTACAGAATATATGAACGAATATGTTATTATCAATTTACGATATGAAATGTTCTATTACCATTATTACACTTGACATGGATATAACAGTATTCGACGCTTCTAGGGCTAGCGTTCCAAGATGCAATTTATCTTCAGTACTGTACTTTCGAAAAGTTGTCGAAAAAGGTTCAATAAATCTTGTCCAACAATCAGATTTGGCAGATGGGAGAAATATACTATCTGATGGACAGCACCCACTTTCTAGTTTCTTTAAGTCCAACACTTCTCTACGAAAAATATACCCGATATGATTCATATGCATGTCATTCAGTCCATGAGAAGCCAAAAGCTTGCAGAAAAAGGTCACATGAAATATGAGTTTACAGTGACGAGAAGAGAATGAGAGCCCACACCTGAGTTATAAGGTGTGCTCGAGGAAAGCAAATGGTCGGAAATGAATGGAAAGAAGTAAATGAGGCACTAGAGAGGCCAGTCACACACTAGTAACCTACAGTGATTGGGAAGTAGTGTGTACGCAAAGAAGGGGCCCAAGTAAATCGCAAAAGGGATGGGAAGGCCTCATCAAACCCTACAAGGATGACCTGAACGGGTAGCCGCTAGTCCGGATAGTAGTATCGCAATGGTAAATAGGTGATCACCTCTAAAACAGTCACTAGGATGGATATGGGCAGTTGCGACCTAAGTCATCCTTTATGCAATACAATATGTGTTACCCATTGCCTTGCGACCAAAGTCAACTATCATCCTGTAACTGAAGTCGAATATCGGAGACCCAAGTCCTCGATTTCCGCCATATTTTTTTCCCCAAAAGTCGTGTGGGGTATGAGAATATGATATGCTGTGGAATGTTGTCAGTACTGTACAACAATGTGTGTAAGTTGACATTCTTTAGGAGGCAAGGAAATAGTCTTGCCGCGTGTGGAGATCTGTCAACGTCAACAACCTTTTTGTCAACCAAGTTCTCAATGAATCTCCGTTTGTGAAAACCAACTGCTCTTGGAACCCGAATCACACACACGTTGCTTTCAACGAGCAACAGCTGTTGCAAGGAAGGCTGCAAATATTATAAACTTACTAATCTTTTGAGATTACCTACACTACTAACAGGATTCAGTGCTGATCTGAAATTATCGTTAGGTTAAAATAAAGTGCTAGTCATACTCAGTATAATAAAAGCACTTGAAGAATCGACCGCTAACCGGGAAACTCAACCTCATATATACTCTGAATATGACTTGAGAATGGGATATTCACAGTGAAGTTACAGGAAAATTTGACCAAAGATGTACGTTGGGTGCACACCCAAATAATGTGGTCCAATGGCTAAGTGGACACACTATTTAATAGATCAAGAGCACATAAGTGGTGGGAGTTATTAGCAACCCATCGTCCTGGTGTGCCCCACTTTTAATCCTTGGATGGAATTCAAAGTGTGGCCCTCACTACAGAAGGTTACAGGTGTAGCTGCAAAGATCCTAGGGTTTCTTGGAAAGGTTACGACATAGTTCCACCCTAGGTTTGGCCAACCAAACAGTTCTGGTAATGATACGAACCTGAGAGGAGAAGACGTGAGGATGTCCAGGTCATCGCATCGGTGACAATTGCCCCATGGTTCACGACAGACCAAATTATCAACTCTTGGACCTACACAATGCTTCGAGTTCCCCTTTCTCGTGCGTCTGCATGCAGAAACCATACTTCATCTTCACATATGCAGAAACAATTTCCGAGAAGCCCGTGAAGCATCTAACTATTCCTCTTTAGAAGCATAGGACAATTCTAATGCGCTGCACTTTCTACCCTGCCACAGTACTCGAACCGTAAATCACTCTGGACTGCCGTCACTCTAGAGCTAGGGGCTGTATAGGTTCATATATCACGAGGTCGTAATGTAGCATGTAATATCCAACATCCTCTTTGAGCACAGTTCAAGCACCGTCTTGTGAGTCTTGTCAGGTAAGAAAGAGCAGTGTACCCGTCAGGTGTACTTGAAAGACAATGCTGAGAAATATTAACGTCAAGAAATTACACGCACCGTCTGCCTTGTCTAAAAGATTCATTCAGTTTAACCAATTAGATGGGTGAAAATCCAGTCAAGAAACTGCTCTTGAGGTTTAAGTGATGGCGTTGATTTTAATCAACGACGTTTTGCTTACTTTTATGAGTTTCAAACAGTTTTTAAGAATGAAAATAAAATTGGAAACCGAGTTACTCACAGCTCGAGAGTAAAAGATTCCAAACAATCAACATATACACAGGCAGACTTAACAGTTGTACAGTATACGTGTATCTGCAATGACTGTTCTGCAGTTGTTATAATGGCAGTTCTCGAGAGCAACAACGTCGAAGAGACATTCTCAACATTTGATGTGGATAGCGTGAAGTCACCGATCAGAACCATAACGAGATTTCCGTAAGGACTTCCAAGCTCGAACTATAACGGTCAGGGTATCAGATGAACGAAATCCCTCACGTACGTACCGATGCATACAGCCGACTGCGACCTGGATACGATTTCGTGGTAGAATACGAGAAGGTTCCATGGCAATTATGAAAAAGGCTAACCTGCATGCAGCGTGGCAAAAGTGAAACTTGACTTTCAAATAATTTGATATACCTTTTGATCGTTGGGATTGTGTCATCCACGTTCATTGACATGCCCTGAGAGCCCCAAAATGTAGAAAACCTTCGTAGCCTTGAGGGCCAGCTGCAACAAGGACCGGCACATCTTTTCATGCTGGAGTTGTTGCTCCAAAGTCTTGAAAGGTAAACGTATGGTCCTGTAGGTAGATGCACAGCCATTATGCGTTGGCTGGGCATCACCTCTTCACAGGGATCTAATATACACTTTATGAGATTCCTGACACAGTTCGGAACAACAATACATGTTTCCGCGGTGATCAATCATTTTGATTCTGAAAGCTTTTCATCAAGTCTAGACCTTTGCAGCTGAAATGATGCAAATGTTAAACGAGAACATGCATGTGCTCCATATGTTTGTAAAGAAGGAAAATAACAAATCCAGGACGAAAGCAGAGCCATTGACCGATCGGCCCTCATCTATGGTAATCATGGTCGTGAATGACCTCTAATGCTAATCCTCTGCGTTGCCAAGTGATGTTCGCTTTGCATGGGTCCTTCAGAGCTGCGATGAACAGGTCAAAATCAACAAGAAAGTGACTTTGAAATCCACTGTTTTTTGAGTGGATACAGTGAGTCGATCGTTGACCAATTGTACGTGTCATGGAGAATTGATAAAGTCAGCACCTGGAGGAAATTGTTCTTGCTGAAATCGAAAAATAACCGCAGAACACAGAATCTTAAATTCAAGAACAAAATTCATGTGCTTGCCTGTTGACCAGGACTTGGGACCCACAACTTAGGTTTAATTTGCAGAAAATTCTTGCATTTTATCTGAGTGCGCGGCTGAATCTCATGGTGTCCTAGCCTGGCCTATATCTTCGACATCTCGTGCTCCAGTCCTTCATGATCCATACGTGCAATACAGCTTGTTTTGAACACTCGGCAGTACTCTTTGCATAATTTGCATCTACTGCAGGCTGCAGACAGAAGCAGGAAGTTCTTCATGCAGTTTTCTGCCATGCCCAATTGGCTCGAATGATCATCCAGTAGCAGTGGTGCAGGTTTCTCCAGCATCGTGCATTGGTCTGTAAGCTGTCGTAATCTCCCGAAGCTGACGAACCAAGTCATCTGAAAGTGCTGCTTTCCAAAACATAGCGGCAGCAGCAACTGCTCCTGGCCAGTTCAGCATCATGACGAGGGATTGGCGATTTCTGCTTAGCATGTTTCTGGCTGCTTCGACACTGGTGGTACACGTACAATGTACTTACGGCGTCGGAGGTGGTCTCATGGTCGGGTTCTATGATGGTACGTGTCCAAGCGCCGAAGCGCTGGTTAAGGCAACGGTAGAAAGTGCTATAGCCAGCGACAAAAGGAATGGAGCTGGTCTAGTGCGCACATTCTTTCATGACTGCTTCGTTGAGGTGAGATCTCATCTATGATAGAATTCACCTGGAAGTTTTCACGTATGTTGAAAGGTTCATGATTCATACTGGCTTTGAATGCGACAAGTGATTGAGGTTTAAGGTTCGAACGTTCATACAGTTTCCAGCCTCGGAGATTTTTGAACTGACACTGTAATAATTATATGCTCTGCAATCGCATAATGACACCAGCTTTTGAGTCAGGGCGCTTAATTGCTTAAGGTAATGATCACCATAGTCAGGACATTCGAACATAATCTACTTGCTCAGAGCGAAGTGAAGCTATCTAGATGCTCTGAATCCCTTTTGAAGCACACTGACGTCTCATGTTTCATTGTGTGAAATCCACCAGGGCTGCGATGCGTCCGTGTTGATTGACTCCACCCCCGACAACTCAGCTGAGAAGGATGGCCGTCCGAATCTCACTTTGCATGGATTCGAATTCATAGATATGGCCAAGGCCAGCATCGAGGCAGCATGTCCAGGCGTAGTTTCCTGCGCTGACATTGTCGCAATCGCTGCCCGAGACAGTGTGCATTTAGTACGTTGGCTAACCTCCCACTTAAGTTCATATGGAGTGCCACTTCTCTGCCGCACACATACCGAGTATTTCTGTGTCATAAAACTAAGCTTCTACTCTAGACTACACAGAACCACTTACGTGTAGTACAGAGAAGAAACATGTACCAAGTGCAAGGACTTCACATGGATCATTGGTTCATTTTGGAAGTGCACGCTCGCAAGTCTTCGAAATGTCTTTGAACGAGGATAGAAAGGTCTAAACTATCAGAATTGTAATGCGCTTCTTTTGATTATTTGTACTGTAGCTCGGAGGCCCATACTACGAAGTGAAAACGGGTCGTCGCGATGGACGAGTCTCGCTTGCCTCCGGAACTTCGGACATCCCAAATCCAATAGACGACCTAGCGACTCTGACAAGCTCTTTCGCGAAAAAGGGGCTCTCTCAATCACAAATGGTCTCTCTCTCAGGTACTGTATATCCATCGACACCCTTTCACAAAGGCATTGTTTTTACAGCTCTTGGAACAATCAGAGAGTTGCATAGGCCGAAGATTTCGAACTCACAAGACGATCCGACGATCACATCGCAGGCCTACACACAATCGGTAAGGCCACATGCGGAGCATTCACAAACCGTCTGTACAACTTCAGCAGCACGGCGTCGACCGATCCGACACTGGATGCCGAGTACGCAGAGCAACTGAAAGCAGCGTGCCCGCCAGGGTCCGAAACCGGAACCACAGTGGTAGACATGGACGTCGCAACGCCAGAACTCGTCGACAATCAATACTACGTGGGTCTAGTAGCACACAAAGGGCTGTTTACCTCGGACGAAGTGCTGTACACTTCCGCCGAAACCCAGCCTCAGGTGCTCCGCAACGCACAAAGTGCTTACTCGTGGACGAGCGAGGTCGTCAGGGACCTTACGGCCATGGGAGACGTCGAGGTCAAGACCGGCAGCAATGGCGAAATCCGCCTGAACTGTCGTGTCATCAACCCTTAAGCAAATGCTGCTCTTCTCGATCGATCCGCGGGCCAGTCGAGAGCCCTTCCCTTCTCAGTTATGCCCGATACCCGTTCGTTTGGCGTCCGTCCTCGTTTGGAAGGCGGCCATTTAAAAGAGTTCGAAGAATTCAAATTTTTTGCGTCCTTCCGATGACTCCTAGTTTCAAAGTCTTTTTGTTTAAGGAAATTCATTAATATTTTTATATATAAAATTCATATAGTCATATTAATATTTTTTCGTCTATCGCAATGTCATCTATTGTCCGTGTGATTTAAAGTAGTGCGGCAAAATGTCAGAATGCCCTGTCGAATCGTGCATGGTTGATACGAATGGATATAATGAAGCTGTCCTTAATAGTATCACAAGTCATAGTCCAAGCTAGTCATTCAGATGTTCCTTCATTCTAGTCTGTAAATTGAATGCTCGTGTGCTACTCAGTTATTGTTATCTCTACAGTGATAGTTACACGTTGCCATAAATGAACCATTTTGTGATGAACATGACTCTATTTTTGACAGCCACAAGTGGAGATTTCAATACCCAAGGTTACTCCAAGAGGAGCATGCAGAAATGTAAATTTTTTTGTTCATTTTTCTTTAGAATGATATAGAGCGACATAAATTGCACATGTTAATAAGGGAGTTGGTGAGAGTCTAACACACCAGAATATATTATTATTGATTTATTATTATCATTTTTAGTAAAACTTTATGAGAAAAATATTCCTCTAACAACACTGAAATTTTAATGATTTAAATATGACTTCATATTTCATTTAACATTTCTAGATTTTTCCCATTTTTTTACTTAGAGTATTTAGAATTTCCAACATTCGTATTACAAACTTCATATTTTTTTAAAATAAAGACTTGAAATATTAATTCAAACCCAGTACAGGATCTTGACTGTTTTCTTTTGATGACTTTCATCTGATTTCTATTCTCAACCTAAATATTAATTATCCTTGAATTCTCAAGTTTAATTTATCTACATCATTTATCTATGCTGAATCAATGAAATTGAAATTATTCTCGGAGTTAACGTGTTGTTATAATTTGAATAGCGTGTATCTTTGCTCAATGTATGTTCCCGATACTGGATACTCTCTCTCTTGGAATGAACCTACGCTGGCAACAGAAAACTGAGCACAATTGTATACGTTGTTTATCTCATCCATGACATACAGAACAGATAAAGTGATGCGCGCAGAACCTTGCGCGAATCTGGATAATAGATACAAGAATGTCCGCGTTTTATCGAGCTATCTTGTGATCCGGATGGATTTACCGTTCATGGCCAGCTTTTTCCACCAAATCTATGCTCCAAAGATGATAGTATGTAACAGCTCTACATGTACAAAAATGGTGATCTCTGATCACGTATCTGAACTTCACACATCAAATTTTCCAGACGCAACTTCATGAATTGAATTACAGAACACCAGAGCAAGCAACCAGACGTTTCCAGCCCTGAGCTATCTCTGATTCAATTCCGTAACATGAGCAATCATAAATATATTTATATTTATATTTAAATATGAAATGGTGGCTACATCTCTTGGATCGAAGGTGCGGCGTTCGCACAACCTCAATAAACCTCACTAGTATATGCCCGTGGGTGCAGAGTAGAAACAAAGCAGCTAATTTATCGAATTGATATTTTTTGCAGTAAGTCTGGTCGAGCCACTGATAGTAGATACTCGAAGTTTATACGAGTTTTGGGAATGGCGCTGCGCATATTCGTACTCGCTTTTACCCTTTCCTGCACAAAGATCACATGGATTGAGGATCAGAACGTGACGGATGATTAGATTCTCCGTTGAGTACAACCTGCATTGATCTTTCATGGCACTTATAAGTTTCCTAGATTCTCATATTTACATTTGACACAAGTTGTTCGTACTGAACTTCTTGGACCCCTCATCAATGCTTAGATTTCGGAGCAGGTCCACTGCAATCTGGGCATTTCTTGTCAATTCGGAACGCTGAAAGAAGAACCAAAATACCGTTGTTTAATAAGATATAATGAATATTCTTCCACTAGTAATACGTGTAACAGTAGTTCATTGAATAAACGATCAGTTCCGAAACTCCGAACTTCTGCATTACAACAATTGTCATCTTTCATCAAAAGCACAATATCAATAAACACTGCAATGCGGCAGGCCAAAATCTTCGTATTCTTCCAAATTAGAATGCTCTCGTGCAGGATGGAGGACTCTTACAAGATGAGGGAACACCAGGTACCGCCGGAACCGCAGGAATATTGGGGATGGTGACTGCAACTCCAGGCAGCATGGAAGGAACAGAACTGATTATCATCTTGAAGTAGACGGTGATGAGTCCTAGGACTGCGTTCATGATCTGCGTCAGGTATCCCTGGATTTCAACGATGGAGTTTGCTGCGACCATGACGGTTGAATTCGCTGCACCCGTCACTGGAATTCCCAGAATTTCCACCGGATCAACGCTAATCTGCATCGGGACTGAAAGGGTTGCAAGATCCGTGCCGGGAGGAACTGGGATACTGAGAGTTGTGGAACCAGGGTACACAGTCGTCTCGAAGGCAGTGTCGCTTCCTGGAACTTTTGCGTGAACATTCACGGTCATGTTTGTGTTGAGTGTAACACTCATTTTGTTATCGTCCGCAGTCTGCATATTGTGACCCTGAGCCACGTCCAGGGAAATAGTGACCAAGAAAGCAACCATTGTCACCGCGGACATTGTTGCTGCTGCCATTCCAGCCGACTTCGTCGCTGCCATGACGGAGTGAAAAGTTTCAGTAGGAAGAAAAGAAACGTGAGCTTTTGAAGGGATCTGACTGGGTTGACGCTAGCTCAGTTTCTGCTCATACTCCCAAAGCTTCTGAATTTATAGGTTCTGGAAAGCATAAGAAACTGACTATGACGAATCCAGTTTCTGGCTCTAACAAAAGAGTATTTACATCAGTACGGATGATTTCTTCATTGAATATCCGTTTTTACTGTTCAGAAATTGCGCGAAGTATGCAGTTTCATTGATATGGATGTACATATTCATCCGACATTGAGAGAACTTAGATCGCATGCATTGCCTTTTACAGTGAAATTTATGGTAGTGTAGACTTACCTAACGTTTGACTTACTTCCAACAGCAGCGGATGGCAGTTTCTGTGAAACGTACATCGATCTCCAATGCGAATGAGTAGACTCGATCTACATTTATTCTACTCGATTCTCTTGATAGAACTGCGTCCAGGAACTATCTTCATTTTTCTTTGGATTTAAAGTTTCTTCAGTTTGTGTTTGATTCAATCAACGCCAAACTCAAACCATGAACAGCTCGAGCTTAGAGCGATCTGGGAGAGATGGTTAATTTTAGCAGCTGAACTTTGGTAGGTAGGTACCAACTTGTGACATAGTTCGGGTTCTCCTTTCGATAGATCTTGGATCAGCCTGTTTAGTTAATTTCCATGATCGTGCTAGATTACGTATGTCTACCTACTAATAATTCCATCCGCAGAACAGACTTCTTTCTCCAAACATCACGAATTAGTGCTGATCAAACCTTTAGTGTATACAGAGAGGATCGATTCGTCATATAAATAATTCACTCCTGGACCTGTAAATATGTTCATAAACTAGAACATGAGAGGAAAATCGCAAATGTACAAACAATGACAACTGCACGCAGGGTACAACTGTTAGTTAGGCCAGAAACTCGAGGTTCTCCTGGCATCTGCATGCTGTGTCAACGAACGGACGTGAAACGTCAGTTGTCACTTCTGACTCAAGCTCTGTATGCCAGCAACGATGCGGAAAGGAGGCCAAGGTCGAAACTCATGTTTCATATGCTGTGGTCTTGTTCATCATCATAAAATCATAATGATCGCCGTATGCAGAACCTACCTTTACCTCGTGGCGTCGCAAACATGAAAGTGGCAAAATTATTTACCTCCCCGCTTTTTCGAAGGAATCCCGCTTTCGGTAAGAGTCGGCTACTCAAGGAATCGGTCAAAAATTCTAGAGCTTTTGCTCGGGTATCAAATTACTAGCGTCACGGTGTGGTACCATCGTTTCGATCTCACACGTCGACGAAGATCTCAGAAAGTATTCCAGACCCCGAATTCGTATCAGAACAAAATCTCGAGGAAATTATCGAGATTCGAGGATCGTCCGAAAACGGTGTGCCAGACCCGGATGCTCTGGGCAGCCCGCTTCTCGTCTTCCGGTTACCGCGAGGATGCAACATTCAAACTTCGAGAACCGCGTTGTGGAATATCTCCCGCCACTGAGTCCCAGAGTCGAAATTCAAATTCGACCAGGTTCAAATTCGAACATGATCGAACGCGTACCACATTTGAAGTTCAAACTCCTGCCACGAAGTGTGGAATTCGAATGACGGAGCCAATACACGCTTCTCAATATTCGAAATGGAACGATACCATATTCGAAGTTCAAACTTCTGCCACCATGTGTGGAGTTCGAATGACGGAGCCAATACACGCTTCTCAACATTCGAAATGGAACGGTTCCACATTCGAAGTTTAAACTCCTGCCACCAAGTGTGGAATTCGAATGGAGTAGCCAATACACGCTCCTCAACATTCGAATTCAAAACCCGAATGCAGCTGGATGAGAATACCGTGAGGTCGTTTTTAATTTTCGAACTGCAAACGAGAAGACGTTCACTTTGAATTTCAAAAGTTCAACGCAATTTCTCCCCTTAAGATCCGTCCGCGGCTTCCCGCCTGTCGGAGAAACTTCAATTGTGGCCTGACGGTAGAAAGAACATTCTAGAGCACTCGACAGAAGTGATTGAAAAAGCCCATCCGCCGACTCCAGTGCCATATGGGACGGGTAGACAGGGGAGTTAGTAAAGGGGACATCGAGACGGGTTCGGATGAATCTGCTTGAACACTGCACTTACACACAATGTCCGACGTGGATGGACATTTCGCCCTCTAATTAACCGGTTCACATGCAGGCACTCAAGTATACAAAATTAGAATCTGGATATGCTGCAGAGTAAAGCCTCCGTCATGTGGAAAGGGAAGGATCAAGCATAGGAGAGGATCGTTTGATTACTTTGCCGCGGCAAAAGATACATTACGATTTCAAACGTGCATAAAGATAAAGTAAAGTGCACTGTCAATACTAGTTTGGTTCGAGATCTCTTCGTGTTCACAATGTGTCATTGAAGAAAAGATTCCGAGGGAGTAGAAGTAGGGAATTTATACAAAAAAGTAATATTTTATTAAATGTTAAGTTTTACACGGCATCCAACAGCGTAATTAGATTTATTTGATCCCCCAGGTAAACCGAAAATGCCTAGTCAACATGACTCAGATTCTTTGGTACCAGTCTCAACACTACCCAAGCCTTTTCAAGGCGTTTTTGATTACAGGTAAGAAAGTATTTACCAAAATAATGCTGAAAGTGAGTATTGATATATCATTCAAATCAAATATAAATTTTTCCCATCCCTTGCATATCTCACCTTGAGGGGATTAAAGCTTTAAGCAAACATATACCTCTTAATTTTTGGTTCTGATATGAGTGATTCATGTAGTTGCACTTGTGTTTACCGACTGGATATTTGATACTTCACCAGATATTTCAACTCTGTTCAAAGCGAGAGTTTTGAAACAGCATATGGATCGGATGACAACATGGTGGTCTCCGCACCAACAGGTTAGATGTATTTTGTTTTGAATAATGAAGGCTTAGAATAAACTTTGAAAGTAGTTGTTGAACTAAACACTCCTTGTTAACCCACACAGGAAGTGGTAAGACTGGACTTTTCGAACTATGCATTCTGCGGCTCCTCACCAGCTGTTTGAGAACTGTGTCTGGCGAGCTTCAATTTAACCACCCACATGGAGCACTAAAGATCGTAAGAAGAACCAGTTGTGATTCAAAGTTCAGCAATTTATGAAATGACATGCTTACACTGGCTCTGTTTCTGTTTTGTGGAAGTTTTGGATGGTAGGAAAATCATATTCTCCTACTTGGTCCAAGATGACCTTGGAGATCAAATCGAGTATATTCCTTTTGAATCACTCCTTCAGACAGCTATGACAGATATAATTAGGAGCTAAAGTGTTTCACAATGTTCCAATCTTCACAGGTTTATGTTGCACCAACGAAGGCCTTGATTCAAGAAAAGATGAGAGAATGGCAAGAGAAGTTTGGATCTAAAAGTGTTGGATTGACATGTCAAGAACTAACGAGTGATAGCGATGCTTTACCCGTGAAAGAATTACAGGAGACAGATCTTATCTTGACAACTCCTGAGGTACTGTACAAAATCGTGGATCGGATCTGCACTTCCTGTACTCTCTTTATGTTGGACATGTTGTTTGACCCACGGATAATTTACTTCTACTTCAGTTAATGCCTAGCAAATTTGTGGTGCATTCTATCGTTAGCAATAATGTCATCGTTTTCATTGTAGTGCATAACAGCTTTTGCATGTACACCTGAGCTTCATCTCAGCTAAATTTGATGCATATCTTCACGAAAAAAAAAACTCAATACGTGTAGAAATGTTAGTGCAGTTAGAGTAAAGTGTTTTCATTGTACTTCAAATGGCCGTGTCCAACACCGAGATCAGATTTAACCAATTTGTGTGCTACATACCCTTAGAAATTTGATTCAACAACAAGACGGTGTAGAGATCATGGAGGCGCTGGATTTGTGGGAGACATAGCTTTGCTACTTATTGACGAAGTTCACCTGCTTAATGATACTCGAGGAGCAGCATTGGAGGCCATTGTTAGCAGGATAAAGATGCTGGCTCGCAACCATGACCTGAAGGGGAGTCCCATTTCTCAGATTCGCTTTGTTGCTGTTTCGGCTACTATACCAAACATTGAAGATCTTGGTAAAAAATCTCAATATTAACTATTTACTTCATTTATCTATTAAAATTCACTCCAATATTTGAAACTTAGCGTGAAATTGATATTCTAGTCCTTCTCTTTCTTGGCCGTCATTTAATCTACAAGATCAACATAACTGTACGTATAGCATATGTTATCCACGTGCAACATATACAGGCAATATCGTTTGTGAATGGCTCTCGTACTTACTTACTCTTAATGGTACACTAACTTATTCTCCTTTCTCCTATGCAGCGGAATGGCTTCTGGTTCCAGCAAAGGCAGTGAAAAGGTTTTTTTATTTCCCCGATGATCTTTTCTACTGATTTCTGCAGTTATTTTTTACTTTCCCCAATATCTTTACTCCATATCTGTACTTAATCCACTCAGGTTTGGAGAAGAAATGCGCCCTGTTAAATTGTCAACGCGTGTTTACGGTAAGGCTAAAACTTAATACTTGAAACCAACTGAAATTTAAGTTATTGCTTTGCCTTCAACTGCTTAGAGTACTACAGAAAGATCTAAGATATTTCGTGTGGATATTCCAACTCAGTTGGTAAAACAGAGACAAATTAAGAATTTCTCATTTAAAATCCTCTATGAAAAGAAAAAACTTCATACTTAATAATATCATTAAATTCACGTAGAAGAGTTTGCGGATTAAAAAATGCATGGTTATGTGTTGAGAATTGATAGTAAAATTTTAGAAAATTCATCAAATCTTGGATCCTTCAAATGCACCATAGTCTTGATTTCGTAAGCATGAATCAATGACTGGTGATGTTTGTAGTTCAAGATGCAAAATTCAGTCATGATATGCTACATACATCTAATACTATTTCTGAAGACATTATTTTACCTGCTGAATTGCAGGATATCCTGCCGCTAAGAACGACTTTCTGTTTGAAAAGGTGCGCTTGAATATGATAGAATTGCTTCCGGGAAGCAACAATATTTCCAACTTCTATAACTACGTGCATTAAAAACCAATTGTTAGAACTTGCTGTGGTAAAGTTGTTTGGAGAGTGGTGACTAATTTGGAAATATTTTTCCAGCCTGATTTTTTAGAGGGCGTTTAACAACTTCAAGAAAATAAAGGGTATTAATAAGCTAAAATAAAATATAGTTCTGAATCCTGTAACATTTCATGCACATTAAATCCTCAAAGTTTTCGGGTGGCAACTTTGATTCGGCTTTCAATTGGCTTTCTTTGGGTGGGAAATTAAGAATAACATTACTTCGAACTAATTGATTAGAACAAGATATGGTTGTTGATTGCTCATATGCATTTTTCACTGATGCCTTTTCTTCATCCTGCACCATACCAGAGGCTACAATACTACATATATGGTAAGTGTTCCAATAGAAGATCTCTAGAATGGCACTCTTCACTGAATTCAGTAAATCTAGTTAATTGAATTGGTTATGATTTGTCCGGAGCTGAGGCTGACTTCAAATACTTTTACTGTTGTTTTATAAAACAACAGACGTGATTCTTCAACATTCCAGTGGGAAACCTACTCTGGTTTTCTGTCCAACCAGAAAAGGTGCTCAGGACACGGCTATGAAACTAGCAGAAATTGTAGCTAAATCGGGTAACACAAATCCATTTCTCAAATCTCAAGAGCAATTCGATCGACTTCGATTAGCTATCTCTCAAACGAAAGATAAGACTATGCAATACTGTATACAACATGGAGGTACAGACTTTTACTAGATTTAAGCACTCCTATATGATGTTTGTAAGGACATTCCTTTCAAGTACATTAAACAGACATGATGATTAGCAACAAGCATTGGGTTGCATATACATAGAGAGTACTTGAAGTTGTAATTTCAACTTAGCAAGGAAGATCAGTCATATGCCCGAGAAGAAGCCTAACTTACGCCAACAAAACATCATCCATAAAGGAAATTTGTGATTTTGACTGAAAACTTCTAAGTTTGGTACTAAAATAAACTTTTCTTTAAACTGCTGGATCTGTTTGCCTGCCACTTGCAGTTGGCTTTCACAATGGTGGACTTGAATTTGCCGAAAGAGGTCTTGTTGAAGGGCTCTTCTTGCAAGGAGATCTGCTAGTATTGTGCACAACCATGACTCTTGCTCATGGAATGAATTTTCCGGCGCATTTAGTAGTAATTAAGTCTACTCAATACTAGTAAGTTGAATTCTGGAATCAAATTCTTGCTTTATTATGTCTAAGCCTCATATTGCATTTTCTGGAACAAGATTTGCTTTCATATGACAAATATTATTTTATTTCTGAAGCATCAAGGACTTAAGTATCTTCTTATTTGATTGTTTCAGTAACAAAGAAAAAGGAAAATACATGGAGTACGAACGTTCAACACTACTTCAGGTAGGATCAAACTTTTCTTCCATAGGAAGTACTGATCCAAAATTACGAAAAGTAATCTGACAGAAGCCAGTTTGAAATAACACAGTTCTTTGAACCCAAGACTTGGAGTTCCTGACTTGAACCTCTGCTGATATCTCGTTCATAGAGTGCAAGTAACATTTATGCAAGCTTATGATCATCCTACTTGGAAAACCCAAAGTCTATTATGTTAAGTAATGAACTTTGCTCAGCAAATGCGCTTTGACTACAAGCACTTAGCAGGGAGGATTGTGGACCAAATATGAAATCTCTTACTGTAAAAGTTGATTTTATCATGTCGATTTTATCAACGTGATCCAGATTTTATATTGATTTTCAGATGTGCGGGCGGGCAGGTAGACCACAGTTTGATGACTCCGGTGTAGTAGTTCTTATGACGAAAAGTGACACGGTATTTCATATCTGCACGTGTTGATTCAAAGCGGCCCGTTTACTTTCTCTCTAGTGACATGACTTCATCTTGCATTCTAAGCTAAGTTGATCTTTTGTGCTCATAAGTTTCATTACTGAAGACAAATACATGACTTGCAGATCCATCTATATCAAAATTTGTTGTCTGGAACGGAGCCAGTTGAGTCAGAGTAAGTAGCTGGATAATCAAACTGAGCTTTTACAGTAGGAAGCTATGTCCTAGCTGTACTAAGTCTTTAAGCTATAAGCAATTCGGCAATGATGACAGTTATGTAAGTGTGTAATCTTGATTTTGTACACAAAACAGGTTGCTCCCATCCATATCCGAGCATTTGAATGCAGAGATCGTTCTGATGACAGTTTCTGACGTTGGTCTTGCCATGGAGTGGCTGAAATGCTCATATCTATACATCCGTATAAGAAAGGTATTTCGCTTGTCTTAATCTACTCCAAAAAGTCCTAAAAATGTAAAGAATTTACTTTTGATGCCTCCCAGACTAACCACAATTTCCTTTCATTGTACAGAATCCATATCACTACGGGAACTACAAATTACTAGCGGAAGAGCAGATGGACAAACATCTGAAAGGTCGCGTTTGGTGCTAGGAGGGTTTCTGATTGTTTGCCATCTAGCTAGACTTCTAACAAACACATAACTTGTTACTTTTATAAAACTTGCGGAGTGCTGTCTTTCAAATTTATGGAAAATCTGCAGATCCACTGATGATAATGAAAACTGAGTGCAGGAATATGTCTACAGAGTATCCATGAGTTGGCGAATTATGGGATGGTTCATATGGATGAATATGGGTTCACTCTAAAATCTCTTGGTACGTTTCTCTCCAAACAACATTTTCGACTAGTCAGTGTAACCTTTCCACTTTCAGCTCACACAAGGCTCGTCAAGTTCAAACTATTTTATGACAATTGTATATTATTAGCATTTTTTTTAATTTAATATGATTTCAAACATGTTTTTTTTTGGATAATTGCTGATGTTTACTCTCAAGTTTTTGTGACTGAAAGCAATGGGAATATAATCAGTTTAAACATGAATTAGTATCTCATGGAGTCAAAAATCCAATTTTGAAAATAATGGTGATGTCTACTTGTCGATGTAATTCAAAAGTCATCGGAGGTCTGAAGAAACTGAGCAACTAAACTTAGGCTAGACAGTTTCTTTGTTCTCACCGGAACCTATTTAAATTGGAGTTGAAATTGATTTATAAGTCGAACCAAAAGCTTGATATGATTTTTGCTTGTATAATGTGCTGCCATTTATAATATAGACATTTTGTACTCATAATTGTAATTTGTTCCTCTTGAAAAATCAATCTAAATCTGACAGAGCCTGGACGCTTGATGGCAAAATACTACCTGAACTTTGAAACAATGAAGACAATAACCAAAATTCAGGACCGAGGCAAGACTGAGGATCTCCTGCATGCTCTGACCAAAGCACAAGAGCTATCTGGTTAGATTTCAGAATCATTTTACACCAACCAAACGATTGCCATTTGTTTTCAAGACAGAATTCTATATCTTATTAATCCGACAACACGTTAATGAAGGTATTCAATTAAGGCGATACGAGAAGAGGCAACTGAATACCATCAATCAAGACACAAGTTCTAGAATGAAGTTTCATGTACTAGGCCCAAATGGAAAGACAAAAAAGAGAATTCAAACTTCAAGTGAGAAGATATTTGTTCTAGTGAATGATGCTTTGTCCGGAGAACCTTCATCCTTGGATTTCACTATGACACAGGTACTTAATTATAAGAATCTCAATCTGAAGAAGGAAATACTATGCTTTGTTAGTTACTCTTGATTCAATATTTTCCATGGATAAAGCTAAAGTTTGTATATCAGTTTATTGAGCCTGTTCTTAAATACGAGAATAAGTTGCTTACAGTATAAATAACATAATATAGAGGGATGCGTTTCCTCTAGTTATTCTCTTCTGTTGGTAGACACTTCACTCAAATCCTCTCAAAAGGAGGAACATAAAACTTACGAACGTGACGTAAAATTGATTGTAGGACGTCTCCGTAATATGTACTCATGGGAGTCGCATTGCACGATGCATGAGTGAATACTTCAAATTCTTAAAGAGGTACTCGGAAGCAAAGAGTGCGCTCCTTTTAACAAAATGTCTTAATCAAAGGCTCTGGGAAGATAGTATCTATAAACTCAAACAGCTTCCTGGAATTGGTATGGTGACTGCCAAGGTAAGTTGATTCCTTATTCAGTCCTTATTCCTTGTTCATCTCATGTTTGTACTATTTATGTCCACAAGTTTCTTACAATCCTTGATGAAAGTCCTGGCGCAGGCATTTATTGCTGCTGGGATATCCAGTTTTCAGCATCTGTCAAGCTCGGATCCTCGACATTTGGAATCAATCACTGGACGAAAATTTCCATTTGGTGATCACATAAAAAGTAAACTCAGTTTACTTCCACCCAAAGTTCTCATGAAAATTGAGGAAACGAAAATTTACACAGGAGGCAAGCGGGAGTTTGTTCTCGAACTAACGCGTTTAGATTCCCCTTCTCCACAGGGAACGAATAAGTGGCACATGGCAGACCTGGTAAGTAAAGGACTCGTAGAGTATATGATAAGGTATGAAAATCCATACAGTGATTACGAAGAAAATTATGCGTAAGCGTAATACTACCCTTCGCTAATGCTTTAACCGTGTGTAAATTTAGATTATTGGGGATGGCACCGAAAATCTACTCATATTTCAAGAAAAAATCAGGTATTACGTGAGCTTTTTACTACATGCTCGGGCTCACTTAAAAATTCATAAGACATTTCTAAATCTAGTTGATTTTACTCACTAACATTCCCTTCATTGTTTGACAGGCTTGAACAATTTTCCAGGTATGTGTTTCTTTTCTAGTCTTGAAGTTGCCATGTAAACATTTCCTCTTATATGCTTGTGTTACGTTTGATATTAAATCTAAACATCTCTTTAATTTTGGCGTTATTTTTACCTATTACTATATTACTGTAGAATGCCTTACATATACATGGACTAATCACATACTGCGCAGCCCTTACATAGTTCCTGTTTATTCCGCGAGTAACGTCAGCGCAGCCCTCATATCTGAACAATATGGTAAGACCGTGTTACATACCACTACTGTAGCTGATTTACACAACTTCAAGTGTTATTCATTGTACGGACTTATGCTCAGCTAAGACTTGGGTGCGTTCCTTTGATCAGGTCAAGCCTAAATGAGGTTTTCTAAATGTTGCAATGCGCAGTTGGTATAGATGTCATAATTGAGCCTCCTACCATCCCTGCGACAAATAAGTCAAGTACATCGATTATGCCTTCTAAGATTGAACAGCAGAAGAGGAAGTTGAAGCTTCTGGGTACTTCATCTTTAGGATCTTCTGTAATCCATGAGCCAAAGTCAACGTTGAAGATGCCCACTCTTGAAGAGAAAAGATATACTGGAGATCCATCTTCTTCCACGTTGAATGTCAAAATGCCAATAAGCTCTCACTCCAAACATGAAGATGCTGGCTGCGTGACAACACCGCCACAGGTCTACACTGGTAAAAGAAAATGGGAAAGTGAATCTAAGGATGTTGGACGAAGGGGAGCTTCTTTCCCTACATCTGAGAGTCCACCTGGTCAAGATTTGAAATCTCTTCGATCATTTTTGGAAGACCCGAATGTGCATCAGGGCATGTGCTCAGACGAAGAAATTAACGGGCTCATCGAATCTGTTTGGGTTGATGCTCCACCGTATGAGACTCCTCTTCAACCAAAGGAAGAGGAACTTCCATCTTTTAGTCTCTCATTCGGGAATGATAGTGCACCTGAACCCACAACTGGCCACAAGGGAGACGGAGATCTTGTCGTTAATGATATGAGGCTGGCTGAAATTGATGAGGAATGTCAGACTATAACTTCACTTCCAAGTCCTTTAGAGGAGTTCACTAAAACAGAATGTCGTAAAACTACAACTTTTGCTCGGGATGAGATTCGTTTGCGAAGAGAGTTCGGGGAAGCACCACCGACATCCGAAATAGTTGAAGAACAGTCAAACAACGTTTCCAACTCTGTATTGCCGAAATGTGCTTTGACTTCAGACAAAGCAGCCTTAAAACTGCCTCTATACCCTCAATTTAGTCTGGGTCTACCTCAGGCAGCAAACCCAGAAGACCCCAGCATTCTAAGATATTGGAATGTACCCCATAATGAGCCACTTGACAGCAGCTGCGAGAACAACTTTGGCGTACAGAATGCAAAGGACGTGATACGGTCCGATTTCGGATCTGATGCTGTAATGAATAGTGGAAAACAACTCTCACATATGACAAATTTAGAAACGCAAAGTGAATCTTTTGGATCGAAGAGTCTCTTCTCTTTCCTGTACGACTAGAAGAACCTCCAAAGAGTTTTGTAATTTGTGATGATCGCAATTTGTAATCAATCTGTCGGTTGTGATTTCAGGGCTATCTATCGTTTGTGCAGGCGCCAAACTGAGCTGTTTGGGTTAAGTTTTGTGTTCGCTGTTCCATGCACTTCACACATTGGTTATTGCTCTGCTTTCAACCTGCAGCTCTAGGCAGATCAGAGCACATACAACGACTACAGCCCTAAGCTTTGACGGTGTAAAGTTTTGAATTTCAGCTTCTGGCAAAGATTAATTGTGGATATTGTTGTTCGGGTTTCTAGTGGCTTTTAACTGTAATTAGATAGGAGTACCGCAGATAACAGCAAATGCATATATGCGTATGCAAATAGCTCTGATTACTACCTGCAGCTCTCGGCAGATCAGAGCTAATGCAACGATTACAGCTCTTACCTTCGACGGTTAAAATTGTAAGATTTCAGATTCTGGCAAAGTTTGCAGTCGTGGATATTGTTGTTCGGGTTTCTAGTAACTTCTTATTAAGTACTGATTGACAGAGAAACTTGGGCCCGGGCACCCACGACAAAACAAGTATCAAGCTTCAAGAAAAGCACCGCCCATATTTTAGTCAAAGGCTAGGTTCGGGAACCTAGCCTACAAGGATCATTCCCGACAGAGAAAACGCTGGGCAAGAGAGATTTCGATTCCGGTGAATAGATTATTCTCCCAATACCTCGAAATTAAGCGGTGCTTAAAGATCAAGTTCAATTTCCTTCATCATCCACCGGTTCAACAGGCCATGATAAGTCCAAAGAGAAGTCTCCAGATGGAAGGCACGTACAAGGAGCCGTGACGTGACATGAAGACCGGGAGGTCCATGTGAAAACTTTCTCTCTTGCACAAATTGTCAAAATACATTCTTTCCATACAGCTCTTACATTCAAAATTTGCCAATCTTCCGTCAACTACGTGTAAAACCATGGAAGATAGTTACTAAATGAAGTTCACTACGCACGTCCATGCCAACTTCGTTCTCCGCGTGTGGTTGACTTAAAATTAATGCTCAGGACAGACTGTCTAGCTTTCTCTACCCACCTCATCGGCAAACTTACCAGCAATGGCGCAAATCTAAGCATGTGAAAGATCAAAATTGCCTAAAACATTATTCACCGACACTTTTGAGTCTGTCCTATTGTGGCTTTCTCATGTTCCGACCTGCTCTGATTACTTCGTCAACAAGAAGCAATTGAGCTGCAATAATGGGCCTGCAAGACAACAAGAATAACCATTGAGTGCCGACCACTTTGTTCGTAAGAAACAAGGCAATTATTGCAGAATGTAAGAAAAACTCTCGACATCTGAACCGACTTAGTAACACCGAGGAGGAAGCAAGAGAAGTTAAGCTTACGCTGAGTTGATAATTTGCTTCTTGACCGAGTAGTTGTCAAATATACCCTCCATCTGCGGGTCCATGGGCTCTCCTGTGTTGTGGTTCAAACCGACCACATTTCCTTTGTCGTGCTCAGACTGAAAACATCAATTTTAAATTCAGTAACTTAAATAGAGGCTGGGAAGTATCTCAACATGATAGCTTTTCTCTGAATAGAATATAAATAGTGCACAGGGCGCCATCTTTACCTGGAGAGTGATGAGAACATCCTGAGTATCGAGACCCGAGTTTTCTGCCAAGGTCTTGGGGATCACCATCAAAGCATCAGCGAAAGCCTCCACACCCAGTTGCGCACGCTGAGAAGAACACGCCAAAAGTCAGATTACGACGAATCCATTTTGGTAACAGGAAAGAGTAATATTGATAAATGATTCAAGTCAGACTTCTAGTCCAAACGTTCGATTTCGCAACTCCGCGAAAAGACTCGATGTCTGAGCACATACCCCTTCCACTGTTTTCTTCACAGTGTTCATTAGATACTGACGAACAGCAACTTCGAATGCACCAGCTCCCTGAAGAAATTTTACAACAACGGATAAATTGAACCAGGTCAGACGGTGAGATTTTCGGAGACGACAACAGAGATGCACAAATGCCGCAGCAGCCAGCAGAGGCCGTGCTACCAACCATGCTCACTCTATGGTAACAAAATAGAGACATCTCATACACGTCACTTTGAAATGTTCAGATTCTCCAAAGCTGTGCGTGTACACTCCTTCACACTTGATTAACTTGATAGCGCGTAGTCGAGACACGACTGAATCTATTGTAATGCCCAGCCCAGTCGTCAGTAGAATAAAATCATGGTCATATCGTCACTTACTAGGACAAGAGCTTCATCCTCGATCGTATTCTTAACAGACCTCAGTCCATCCCTCACTGCGTCCTTGATTTGGGCGATGGTGTGATCGTTAGGCCCTGCAGGGATTGTCACATTATAAATGTCAGCAACTGACCAATAAACTGAAATTTGGAACGTCTCTTTGATGAAGCTGCAGTGATGTCTGGCCTACACATCCTTCATTCAGTTTCTCCCAAGTGAAACTAAATACTCCGATGAGGCTTTAAGAACAAACTTACCCTTGATCAAAATCGTACAAGAATGTGGGTTCTTGACTCCTTCGATGAAGGTGTATTTTTCTTCACCCAGAACGTGCTCGTATACCACTCCCGCATAACCCAAGACATCGGCATCAAGATCTTCCACAGAGTTGATAGCCTCGCCACCGCATGCAAGAACAAGTCTTTCCATGTTTCTGCGCTTTGCTCTTCTTAAACCTACGATCTGGTGCACAAAACAAGAGAGCGCCTATAAGGCCAAGAAAAAACTAATTGATTCCCAAAGCGGACAAATTGATCAAACATAACTTGGGAGGCGGCCGATTCCAAGGATAACCAGAACTCGTAGACATACCCCTTCCTTTGCAAGAAGATCTAGTGAAATGGGGTCGATACCCTTCTGATTGATGACGCAGAATGTCTTGTTGGTGCCATCACAAACCTGTGAAGAACGAGCGAGTTAGAGGTCTTAACTTATGCCACAAACTCTTATTTGCTGAACATTTGAAACTCGCCAAACTTGCCCTTCGATAAGTAGAGCACACGATCTTTCCCAAATTGGAAAAATGACAACTAAGTTACCGTCTCTCGAAGTCACAATTATATTCCAGGCTACACACGCAGTCCTCTGTTAGAATCTTCTGGACGCAACCAACCCTTGGGTGATCAACATAATCATGGTAAAGACTTACTTTTTTTTTCAAAGCGATGATCTTGTGAACCTTCTCATCCACATTCCTCCTTTCAGCTGCAACCATCTTCTCTCGTTGCTCAGCGTCGTGGTAGAAGAATCCCGCGTTGACCTCACTGCCACAGGCTCAGAAGCATTCAATCAACCATTTGATCCAAAAGAGTACTCCTCTACGCGAAGAGAATGCTAAGAATGCGACCTTAAGTCAGCTGGTCACTGAACAACAGACTCTAACATAGTCTTACCTTTTCTCATACTCCAGAGACACGTTACAGGTCAAGATGTAGCAGTTCTCTAATCTCTTTGGCATGTCCGGATGACGAGCACCGTGATCAAGAACCAATCCCTCCACCTGTTCCGAGCACAATTGAATGAGATATAAAACGTAAAGCCCACCTTCTAGTCCGAGCGACCTCCGTCCAACAATACCTAAGTACGAACAGAAAATACCAGCTTCTAATACGGCAGCACACGGTTCGTATTTATCTTCAGGCAAGTCACTGCAAGTGCGTGACTCGCATTGCATCGAGACATATACTAAGCAAAACTTCATTTTACTTCCTGCTGTCCCATATGTAATAACAGTCAAAACTGGACGGCGTCGAGACCGGACTTGACCTGATTGTCGTATGTTATAACAAGCATCGCTCATATAGACGATACGTACTTCACAAACTTCGGCAGAGACAATACGTACCAGCTTGGTGTCGGTATCCATTTTGTGCCTCATGTGCATGATTTCCACCATGAACAAGTCAATTGGTTCCTCTGGCTTCCTGATACAAAGTACCTGCAAATATCGAAAAAATGGACTTCTTAAGTGTCCCTCCAGGAGAAAGTGAACGTCGTGAAGAGACATCGATGAAGGAATTGCAAGCCACTGAAAGCATGCACAATATACTATCTCCAAACACGTAAGATGACGCTACGTCAGTAAAAAATAACAGTAACAACGGCGACAGGCATAGGAGATAGACTTACAGCGTTAACTACAATGTCGGTGAGCTGATCGGCCAGTTCCTCGTATAGCTGCAAAAGATGAGTTTGAACTATTAGGTAAGAGTGTCAAGGGAGGACAAAGTTGCATCCGATGGTTTATCGGTTCCGGCTAATAAATCGACCATTTCCGGCGAACGAGCAGTAAACGCTTTCCCACTCGAGCAATCACAAAGCAGGGTTGAAACAAAACCATACCTTAGTTCTGAGGGTAGTCCGAGCGACCATGGAGATTATTTCCTTATCAGGAGTTCCCTGAATAGTGACAGGAGTCTTAAACTTTTCGAGGTATTCTAAGGTGGCTTTCTTGGCAATTTCGAAACCATCTACAAGTACCCGAGGATGCATGCCTGTCCACAGAAGCCAACATCGATTTCAGAATGTAGCACCTAGGTGACGCAACTATAGGACAGATACAATGACCTCATCGTGAAAGTACTACAGCAAGGGTCTCTCGACAACGCCTGTCTCTGAAACCTAAAATCGCAATTCTATATGATGCATAGCTCGACACCTAGTAATTTCTCGATATTGACATTGTTTACAATCAATTGAGAGAGTCCACTGCAATCAGCGAACTCTCTTTATCGAATGGTGCCACAAGTTCTTCGTGATGAATTTCGAGAGTACTGCACACAAGAAACTGCCCTTTCTCTAATGAGTCAATTCAAACCATGAAAAAGGCATACCTTCTGATATGAAACGCTCCGATTGCTTCATCAGCTCTCCTATGAGAAGAACAGTCGATGTCGTTCCATCTCCACTAATGTCGTCTTGCGCGACAGCTGTACGAGCTATCATAATCGCAGTAGGATTTTGAATTTGCTGTCATGAGCAAAACGATCTACGTTAAACTCAGATCAAACAGATCATGAGTGTGGCAGGTGTTCCTGGTACCAAGCTAGAAATGTCAAGTGCTCCAAACAACATGTCAATAAACCAAGCACTCACCATTTCTTTAAGAAGTGTGTTCCCATCTTTTGTAAGTTTGATGTCACCAGATCCTCCGACGAGCCTAGACAAGACAAAATTCAAGTCAAGCATGAATCAACGCCACGCATGAGTGGGACATAAGACTCTAATAGGGGTTTCAATGAGAAGAAATGTGCATGTTCAAGATCACACAGAGTCCGACTCTGTGCTTAATGACAAAACCCTGTTTCGCAACCTTTGTAGTCCTTGGCCCCGGATTTAACAAAGAAGTGAGGGTAATCGATCGACGTCAAAGACATTAACAGAGATCTTACATCTTGATGGTACCCTTCGGACCAAGATTGGTCTTCAAAACCTCCTGCAAGCCCTTGGCGGCATTGATCATCATATACAGCGCCGCCGACTTATTCAGAACCTCCGCATTGGGGTTCACCATTCTGATCGCCATCCTGTCCTGATTTTCCTTGCAGCACTTAGGAATAGGCCGCCAGAATCGCTTGTTCTGAGACAGGCAGCGATATGCAAAGGCTCAAATCTCAGCGACTCGGACAGCTCAAACCCCTCAAAATCGACGAACCCTTGTGCAGTTTCGGAACAGATTTCAGCAGAAAATGCTCCTTCTTTCCCTGCACGATCCTCGATGGTGATCACTGCGCTATGGAAGTTCGCCCCCGCGCTAATCCAAATCGAAAATGCAGAACTACCAGTTGACGGCTTCTCCTTCCTTCTCGTGCTCGTCGTTGTCGGCCTTCTGCTTCTCTTTGCTTCTGCCCACTTCTGGGAAGAAGGGCGGGAGCCACACCCCTGACCAACCACGGTCGCCAAAGCTGGTCTCTAGCGACCTTACTATGTATTCATGAACTGCGTAGGTCCGCACTCCATCAGAATGTTCTGCATTGAAAGACATACGAAGCAAAAGAGACCCAAAAGGAAACGAGTATGGTAATAACTCGTCAAAGACGGCAGGATGGGGCCAACAGCCTATGGCCCCAAGATGATAAATATGTATTGTAGCACTTCATTTATCTACAATTTATCTGGGTTTATTTTCCCATATTTAACCAACTCTTGTTTCTATGTTGTATATCTCCACTTGGTCACATCGGCTTGATTGTTTGATATTGGTCCTAGCATACATGAAAATTTATCTTGTCCAAAACTTCATTCTTGTGTAGAATTGGAATGACATAGTCCTTAACATTAATCTTGCACAATCTAATAGTTTATAGTTATGTGCTAGCTCAATTGATTGTAAAATTACCAATGCTCTATATAATCCATTTTCTCTTCTGGCATACAAATAAGAACTTGATGACATCATAGATAGCTGTACTCTATGTTGTCTTAGAATATTTTAATTTTGTATAGTTAGATTTTGTTTTATGATTTGATTCTAACACTAATAAATGAATGATGAAAATATCTAAACTTGAGACATTTATAGATGATTTCACATTTTTCTCGAATGTATGTTTCAAACACATAGAAAAAATAAGGTGCTACAATCGCAATGCATTCAATTCTCACTATTACAAGATATATGTCTTGTGAGATAACATCTCATGCATGCTCAAAGTAGATAAATTTCTACATTTCAATGTAAATGTGAGATGCTAGAGTTTGATATAAACTGCTATTGATATTTTACATCATGAATTTTCTTCAATCTTTTCAATGGAGTAAATAATTGATTTTCTTATTTTGTAAATTAAATCATCAATTTGTTAATCTTTGGATCGTGAATCATGAATATAATTATTGAATTTATTTTGGATCCTTTATTATTTTCAACAAAGTTTTTTAATTTTAAAATAATTCAAAAACCATCAGGAAAATGTTTTGATACAGTTAAAATTTATCTGATTGACATATCTACTTATATGACAATCAAAGCAAAGGCTTTGACTGGTATGATGCAGATAAGCGGTAATTCCAAGGAATTTTAATTTTGTAGGAGATTTATCAAGTAGATAACAAAAAAATAAAATAAGATCTACATAAATTTTTCTAAAGATTTATCATATATTGAGCCTATTTATTACTTCTTTGAATCTTTTGTTTTGATGAAGAAAGTGTATACTTGAACATAGTTTTCAGACAACCAAAAAAAAGTTGGTTTCAGGTGTTAAAAAATTATAATGAAATTGACCTAAATATGTTCATAAACTTATACATATATTATACTGTATATCTAAAAATTATTTCTTAATGACAATAATCATTTGAAAATAGAGTTTAAATCACAACATTCATCACATGATTTCACATAAAAGCATGTAAATAACTATAAAATAATAAACCCAAGGTTCAATATAAACATTGCATTAGTTCTTTGTTGTTACGATAAAATATCTCTGGCAATCTATAGAATTTCTATTTCTTGATTTATATTTAAAATAAATTAAATTCAAAAAATTGAAATATATTTCAAAATAACAGAATTACATTCAATATTTTCTTAAAAAAATTCAATTATTAAAATAGAATCTGAGCATTAGAATGTTTTTAAAAAAAATTTCAAACAATTAAAAATTTGAAAAATAAATTTGAATATCTATAAAATTATTCTTAAATTTAGGAAAAATATGATAATCTGATTTATTTAAAAAACAATTACAATAAAATTTTTGAAAATAAATAATAAACACATAAAAATACAGCACCACAAAAATATAACTATATTTTAACAAATCATTATAAATAAGAAAAATAAAAGACATGTTTGAAAGATTAATACACATTCTTACGTGAAATGGATCATTGTCACAAATGTTAATAAATCTTAATTTAAAATTATCATTTACGTGATGAATGCTTTGCTTTAAAATAATATTGTAGTGTATCATTAAATTTTTGAGTTTAAACATGAAATATTACCAAAATTTATAAAGCAAGATTTGAAGCTAATTTTGTTTATTGTACTCATAGTGTTATCAAATTTGAAATTTATGATACATAAGATTCATGATTTGATTGAAAATTTTAAGTTGTTGTACTCTCGATACCACAATATAATCAATGATTTTATAATGATAATTTTAGATTCTTTCCAACATCAAATTTCTATGAATATTTTAGAATTAAAAAATAAATAGTAAAAATCAATCTTCTACAATAAATATCTTTATGATTTTTATTATAATGTTGATTATGAAAGAAAATTATTTTTCTGATATAATTTTTCAAAATGTTGTTAAAAAAATCCAAATATAACAAATAGAAATTTTTTCTCTTCTTATTTAATTTCAAAATTTAATTGATTTATAATATAAGTTATCAATAGAAATTCAAAAATCAATTATTTTAAAATGCATGAATATTATTTTCGAAGAAAGTTTTTATTATTAGAAAATAAAATAATTTTTTTATTATGTTCGAAAATAAATATTTCTGAATTTTTGAAGGAAACAATTCTTATTATAATAATAAGAATAAATATAAATCATGATTCACAAAAATTACATCTAGATACAATTGAACGGATTGTGATGGTTTTATTATTTTTGCACTAACTATGATATGTATAATACTTTTATTTTGTCTAAAACAATTCACCTAACTCATACGTTAAGGATGTTTTTAATTATTTTTATATTAAATCCATGATTAAAAATTTTCATAAGAAACAAACTAATACACTTTGGTTAACTTTTATTATTGACACAATACATAATTTTGGAGATCATCCACTAACTACTTTACCAATGATCTTATATCTTTTTTGCAAGTGAACTTATATCTATATACCTTCACATGTATCACAATGAGTATATTTTGAATCTTAAGCAAAATATTTCTCTATTATGCTCAATAATTCAAAACGTAAATGTTTTTGTTTTTTCTTGAAAATGACAACATTTTTGTTTTAATGTGACAGGATTAACACAAGAAACATAAATAGACAACCAATAAAAAACATGTAAGATTTATCATTGTGCGCTATGTACACAAGATCATAACAATATTTATCATAAAAATCATAATTTGTCTAACTTGAAACTCTCATATCTCTTTTGTATAATGATAGATCAACTAATTTCACAAACAAAGATTTAGTCAAGCATAGTATACAAAGACACTAACTTAATACTAACATTATTGTATTGCATGTCATTGAATTAATTGAAAATTTTAATTTTAAATTTAAAAATTATTAATGAATGTTAATTTTGTGAGATATTAATAATTATTCTAAAAATGATCATATGCATAAATCATGTTTAATTCTCAAATTAAGCATAACTTTACAAATTCTTAGTTAACTTTCTACAATATGATCATTTGCTGCAAGTATCATTTGATTCCAAACATCCCTTTGAATAATTATTTTTGGATATAATTTATACATATCATTTGTGTAAAAACATCATTGAATTTTTTTAAGTCCATATACTTTTTCAGGTTGAACAATTGATTTCATTATTTTTTTGAAAAATATCTCTAACTTTCCAAATACATCAAATTAGGAGAAATATTCATCACAAACTCATTTTTTTAATAAAATACCTTAAATAATTCATCTATAAATTAAATTTTAATTCTTGCTCAATTGTGCAATGATAATTATGCATATGTATCACTAATTTGCAACAAAGTAAAACAAATGATTAATTTCTGTATTGATTTTTTTAGATTATTCATTAAACATATCTTTGATCAAATTGATAAGTTAAATTAATAATCATATCATTTGAAAAGAGTAGCATGTTAAAAGTTAAATTTCAATAATAAAATAACTATCATTTTAATTATGTTGTCTGATTATTGATTTATATCTAGCAAGACTTTTCAATTCTTGTTCATTAATTTAGAGAACTAGAAGATTTAATTTTTTAAATATTCAAATAAGTTTAATATATTGAATATGAATAATTTAAATAAAATTATAGACTTTAAATTTTAAAGTTAATACTAAATTTTAAGTCTAAAAACTGAAAATTTTATTTATGAAATTTTATTTCAATTTTTGAAATATATTTTTTCTATCAAGATAAAAAAAATTATTTTAAATGTCATTTATGATCATCCAAATTTTTTCAAGATATTTGATTTTTTGATGATCTTAAATCAATGATTTTCTAATAAAATTGGGAAAAAAATTATCATGAAAATACACGTCTATAAATGCATTTGAAACATATTACTAAATAATCAAAGTGTTCATGTCTTGTTCAAAAATTAGATATATGATTTGAAATGTACAACTTGAATCAATTGGAATATTATATTTTTGCTATTTTTTTCTATTTTTGTGAGTGTGAAATGCATTTATTTAAAAAAAATTTTATTTCATTTTTGTATATGTTGATAGTATCAGAGTTAATTTTTTTTAAAGAGATAATTAGAAGAAAATTTAATTTAATTCATTAATTTTTTTCCCAAGTTTTTCAAAATGAAAAATTTAACCTTGCACGTTAATTTGCTTCCTTTATTAGCTTGATTATATTCTATACATGAAATTTAATTTAAAATGTAAATTATTTACATATATACATTAATATCTCATATTATAATAGTGTTAAATTTGTTGTAAAATTAGTAAAATAGTGATATTAGTAAAATACCCAAAACCAATCAACAATCAATCAGATGGTAAATTCGAGATGATAAACATGAGAAAACACTATATATAATGTATTTTATCTAGGTGCAGGATTACGTCCACATCATGAACATCTTAGAGAGTATATTGCAACTATGGAAAAACATTGTATCTCCAATCGTGGCAAAACTTTCTAACTATACTTGGTTACGATCGATGTTACTCCTCAAGAAGAGTTAATATCAACAATCTCTCCCTTAACTCATGTTAGAATAATAATAATTTCCATAACTTCCATTATTACTCCGCAAGAAGTTGTAGAAAGAAACATAACACAAGATACTCATTATAAATATATAACCTATAATAATAACTATCAAATAGTAAACCTTAATCCATAATATTTTAAAGATATTTTAGAATCCATTTCATTACATCCTAGTGAATTTTTCTTGAATTTGATATAAATCTGATCACCTTGCCCATTGATAGAGCAATATTAGACCTAGTGCATATTATCAAATACATGTGGTTGTTCATAGGAAATATATGGCATCTTTACTTTCTCAACCGCATTTGTAGGACATTAAGCTGTGGAAAGAGGTCTACAATCTTTTGCAATTGACCATGTTGGAACATGCTTAAGATGATTCAACCATAAACTCTTTTTTTCAAAAAAATAAATAATTAGATCTTTGAAATTGATGTTCAATATATTTTCATTTAAAAATTATGCTTATCATTGATCATTTCATTCACGGATCATTTATCACAAACATTAATTGTAAATATTCTTGCATATTAGATATGGTAGATTTTGTAAACCATATTTATAACTTGAATTTCCAAATAATGAATTATTTCTTCATTTTTGATTATTTCAAAATATTTTTTAATACATATTTGTATGAATTCAATACATCTATTTTCATCAGAATGATTAGCGTAGGACAAACACATAATTGAGTGTATTAACAAGTAAACATTAATTCAAATAATGGAAACATGATTGTAATAAAATTTGAAACATGATCAGTACTCTCACATTATGAAAATGCAACTTTTGTCTATCAAATGTTAATGTAACAAAGTGTAGATAATGTGTGTAGTATTGCATGCTTCTTTAAAGTTACATGTAACAATATAATTTTTAATACTTGTATTAAAAATGGTGAATGTGATATTAATCACATTTATCATGCAATAATTTTCAATGCACAAGAACTCTACAATTATTTTATATATTTATATAGATAAAATTGCAAGTAGCTTTAATATTGAATCATAATTTTCACAGTTGAATTGACATTTCATCAAATATAAAAAACTTATCAACATAATCTTCTAGTAAGCTAATAGAATATATCTCTTTACGCACTAAAGAGATCTATCTCACTTTCGTAACTAGGATGAAGTGGATGCTGTAATTCAAAATTTGTAACTAAAGTCCTCACGTTGTATAGAACAATATCTATAAATGTTCATCAATTTTTAATAAAATGTATACACCTTATATTCTTAGAATTGTAACTTTGAAAAAATTGTTGGTCGAACTATTCTTGTTAAATTTAGAAAGTTGCTAGTTATCTATCAATTTAGATTAATTATACTCTACAGAAAAGAGGTTTGTGATTGGTCAAGATGCAGGGACGTGACGGGGATATAGTTTTTGGGGGGTCATGGAAAGGGGGAAAATCAGAAGTAGTGCAGATTCGTGGACTGGGCTGCCCAGTTCATGTAGTTGTTCTTTGCTCTTGGTATTCACGCGCTTGTAAACAAGGGATTGAAGTTTCTCCACGAACACTGAGTTCCTCTAGTTGTACATAGAGAACTTAAAATTTAACTCCAAGGCAATGTCATGATACAAGGCTTTTGCTATCTCCTTGCACATCGACCACATTTGTGAGAGCTAGACCAGTCTTACAATTGACTCGGATGTTTAGATAAACAATAGCTGAAAATATCTTCATGAGAGGGAACCTTGCAAACAGCAACCGTGGCAAACCATAGCATGATCAGAAGCAAGTAAGCCTTGTAACAAGGACCGGATTATCGTTAGTTTACAAGGAAAAAAACAACAATATCATGAAGAAGATGGGCTTGAGAGCATCCGTGTTACGCGCGTTTCACGTAGCCAAGTAAATGTTCAAGGGTCACTGAAATGTTTGCGCGTAACAAAACTTCTTCAAATTCATCAAAATGGGCTGGCCGGTTCTTATGTTAGAACAACCCATGCTGTGCTCCACTTTTGATTCTCCCCATTTCTCTGTCTCCGTGAAAATTATATATTCGCTACGTTCTTGTTTTTGCATCTTACTTTTGAACAATCACATAGTACAGTAGGGTGAGGAATAATTAACCTAAACCTATTTAAAAGTAGAGGCTCCCTAAATTTACTCTTTTCATTTGTTGCGTTCCTTGATTCATTAGATTTCATCAAAGAAGAATTATTCTCTAAAATGACTTGATTGACCAGGACTATTGTTGCGACAACGGCAGAAAATGCTATGTTGCGATAACTAAGATGAATTGTGAAAAAATATTTGCAATTGCTTTGGCTGGTCTTGCGGAAATTTTAAAAATAGAGAGTTCAAAGACCATACGTAAACTGATAAATCCAGATTCCACATAAGCATTTATCAGGAATCTAAGACTTTCCAGATTTTACAGAGAAATTTGCTTGGTGGGAACCCAATACGTTCTATTTTACCCGATGGAAATCTTCCCGACGAGAGTTCAGTCCACCGTCACCCATATTCTACTACGAGTTCTTATAAATGCTATCAATCCGGGTTAGGAAAATCATTGCACCTCTTTGTTGAAAAATGACTTCTCCCTTCAAGCACTTCACGCACCAAAATACGCAACTTACGTGACTTCAGCGAAGAGTTTTAGAAAAAATAATAAGGAGTAAGTAGATTAGGCCCATATATTATAATCTTAAAATCATTATGGGACCTGAGAAATTGTGCTCTTGCGGACGAAGATTGAGAGCCATGGGAAATTTGACTAACTTAAATTTGGGAAGAAATTTTATTTTTCATTGAAGTGTAAGAAAAGTAGTTACAAGAACATAACCGAGAATGAGTCGTCGGAGGGGTACCATAACGTAAAATGGAACATATTGGGTCCCATCAAGCAGTCACCGTCACGATGGGGTACCATCAAGCAAATTTCTCAAATTTTACACGCGTAATACTGGTTAGTCATGGAGCGTCCACATTCTAAAGTCAGGAATTCAACTTGTCCACATAGAAGGTGATTCGAATCAATCTAGTTGTGAACTATTTGATATCTCATTTTCAACAACTTGTGTCCGATGGCACCAAATTCAGATTCAAACTCATCGATCGCGGAAGAGCTTTATGAATATAAGAGGTTGCATGGATGATAAGCCTCAGCGGCTCTCAAGCTGTGCCACTTCTGTTCATAATCATGATAGCAGACTTAATTCAGAATATTGATTACAAGAATCAAAAACTGTTATACGAGGGTATAAAAATTGGATTCCCTCATATAACAGAGCGCAATTACGCCTGCAAACGTAGTCAGTCACTGATCCTCATTTGCAAATGTAAGTCAGTTTTAGTATTCCCTACACATCTCCGCTTTGGTTCAGTATTGCAATCAGGGACAGCCCTACAAGCTTTCGAGAGCAGAAAAATCTCCCCGAGTGGTATTTGATCAAGACCTCACAGAGATTGATACGGACTCGATGTCTTGCTATCAACATACGGCGGAGGCATTCAAGCTGGGATCAAATTAATTTCTTCGCACAGAGCCACTGTTTCGGATAGTACCAGAAGGAAGCCTTATGATACTGACAACGATTCGGCTGTCGGACCTCGAGTGTGTATTAAAGAAGCCCAAAAGAAGAAGTAAACAACGTGCATAACGCAGCCTTCAGTCCATCTCTGAGAATCTCGGTACAAAGTGTTTGGTTTCTTGTCTGTAGAGAATTGATTCAATCAGAATATATTCTTTTCAAGATATTTTTCATGTATCTTCTTCTAAGAACAGACGGTCAGAGTATGCAGAGATTTGAAAGAAGCTTTATTCTCTCATATGCTAGATTCATCTCGTTGTAGTAGAAGGTGGGACATAAGTACACAATGAGCCACAAATCGGTGGCTCTGGACTCGAAAGTACATGTAAATCGTGTACCTCTGTTCCTCGCGTTGAGGCATCGAGCCGAAAATATGGAGAAGAAGATGACTTCATATGAGTCTAACAGGAAATGCAATCCTAAAATGATATCTATACAAACTTCGAAGATGACTTCATATGAGCCTAACAGGAAATGCAATCCTAAAATGATATCTATACAAACTTCCGAAATTACACATGCTTGTTCGACTACACAGAATATAATACTACTGAAAAGGTACCGACTGATGAAGCTCACAAACTTCGTCTGGGAAAAAAAGACCATGCTTGTCGTATCAGCATCACACCACCGCGAGAGGATCGTTGCGAAACTGCAAACAAGTCCGATTCACTTCCAGCAGCCATGAGACCTTCAGGCGGTCGCCCTGCTCTCTTCGATCAGCTCAGCATGACCGTGAGAGTCTTCTGATTTGGCATCAGCTTCGAGCAGATCGTTGATGTTGATCTCAACTGCGTGGTTGCCGTAGATGAAGTCAGGAACAAAGATGTGGCAAGTGACAAAGAACACGGTTTGCGGAGTCTTCTGCACTTTCTCGTACTTGACAAAACCCGTGGCACCTCTGAATTGGCCCTGTCCACCCACGATGGCCAGCTCCTCATCATCAAGATCAGCTTGACCGTCTGGAGTCATGAACCACGCGCCTCGCAGGCTGATCGAGCTGCCTCCCCACGGTCGGATCAAGTCATCAGAGAAGTTGATTGTCACCACATCCTCGATCACGTCCTCTGTATGGTAGAAGTACAACCCACCAATGTGCCCGTAAACTTGATTTTTGTTCCTTGAAGAGTATAAGAGATTGTTCTTGACGTAGGCAATTCCTTTGTTCGGAATCGCATCAGTTGTCATGGGCTTGAACACTTCTGTGTCGCCGGCTGGTATGAACTCATAGTAGCTTATGACATACTTGCAGTACGATGCATTCACTTTTGAAATACTCAGAAGCAACAGCAACGGAAGGAAGATCAACTTCATGGTATCCATGACTGTAGAGCGCTGACCTTGAACCAGATTATCTGCGAGCACGTCGCACGTAGGATCTGTCAGAATTCTGTGTTAATGACCTCAACGCCTCATTTAAGCTCAAAAACACTAGACGTGGACAAGTGACGAACAAATTGTCCTCATATATTTTTGCACATAAGAATACTGTTTCTCACTACAATCATTATGCAGCTTGCAGGACATACGGATATAGGAAATGCAAAGGTTGCCAGCGTGATTATCAAACTGTTTCTGATGTTTTGACTGATCAATGATAAGAAGACAAGAACAGCATATAGGACTTTTGAGTACTGCAGTTGTTGTCACACGTTTGGTTGACATCTATCATTCTCACCACAGATACATATCTAATGTCATCACGTACCAGAGCAAATTCCTCAAACAAACTGCTTTTGACCCCAAACGAATGTTACTCCAGAGAGGTAAGCCAGTCACGAGACACTCTGCAATTAACGGACATCAGCAGCGGTTTCTAATGGAGTTGCACATGTTGATCTTACCTCTTGAACCTCGAAACTCCTCCCCAGTTTCTTGGATTTTCTTGCTGATATTGGTAGTGATGCATGAGTGCGTTTATATAGGGAGAGGACCTTCGGACGAACAAGTCCATCCCTGCTAGAAAAGTACGCGGTTTAGCTGCCAGACAGAGCTTTGCGGTTATTTCGAGAAAAAGCAAGCATGTGTTGAATGAAGACATAAACGAGGGCGGCCATGAGCATGCCTGAGCAGAACTCGACGTCGACCTCCCTTGAGAGCATGCAATTTTATGGGGTACGTAAGAGTAAAAAAAATGCGTAACAAACAACTCTGACACCTGTGAGCTCTCTTTCTACAAGCTCTGGATCAGATCAATTAGACATTCTATACTCGTGTTACAGACTATTATTTTCTTGTCGATGAAGTTTGACAACGGCCTTGGCAAAGTCCGTGACAATTCCAGTCTCCATCTCATCACATCCATATGAACAACAATCTGTTAAGAGTTCTGTCAAGGATATCAGTGCGTTGGCCCTTCGTGGTTTGGAAAGCTCAAAAATCAATCCTAATCCTATCATAATCCATATGTACGAGTTCGTTCTATGGTATGTAATGATGTACTTTTCTGATCTTCACGTTTAACCGTGTACGTGTCTTGAGAATGTTGAATGTGAAGATTTTAACGAAGTTACGAACTTTACAATTCCTGATGATTGACAGATGGTTCTGAACTCAGATGAAGTTATCGTTGAGTTTCGAGTTGATGCTGAACAACCTGTGAAGACTAGTAGCAGCCTGTGACTACAACTGAGTAAAAAGATTATTTCGCTTGGTGATGAATTAGAATTCATTGTTCCAACATAGTCTAAATTAAAAAAATATAACACTATAATCACATCTAGCACTGTCATGGGTCAATTTATTGCAGGAAGATGGAAATGAGTGTAATAGACCTCGGAATATGCGAATAGAATAATCCAAGAAGGTATTTGCTGTAAATTATAGCAATAGAAAAGTCCCTTGATAACATGCTTTACGTACATCTATGTCAGGGCAAAATAAAAGAAGATGGTTCTTGTTTTCCTACGTGTTCAAGATTCGAGCACCTATTGCAGGGTACTCATAAAACAAGCATTCGAGATGTTGCGTATCCAAGGCTCTCGCGTGTGCCGGTTACCAAGATATTTATAAAATTAGCAGAAGCTTACTGATGAGGTAAAGATGAGATAAGGGTGATGACAAGAGGGGTGACATATGCACTGATTACTCCATGCGACTATAGCATAGTACGGGTCTATATCAACTGTGTGTACTTGGAATTCGTATTGATAATGTTATACAATTTTAAAACAACTGAAAGTTTGTATATGCTAGTTGTATCATCTTTAATATAATGAAATTTCTAATGAAATTATAAAATTAGTTGTCAATTTTTATGAAATATCGTTGCACTATAATTCATCAAATTGTAAATATAAAAATATACATAATAAAAATTTATTAAATACGTGACCAAAATTCGATTTAAAAATCTTTAAAAAAATTATAATTCATAGTTCTGTATAATAAATATTTTTATTAATAAAATAAGAAATATTTATTAAAATTTATATAAAATAATTTCTTACACAAAAATAATCTTATCAAAACCTATTTAATATATATCAAGATAATAATTTGGTACAAACATTAAATAAGATGAAAATTTGAGAATTAAAAAAAAATAATGATATTCATCTCTAAAAATATGGTTTAATAAATTAATAATATATAAAAAACCACATCAAATCTTCCATAGATTAAAACAATCATGAAACTCATCATCACAATGTACAAAAGTATATAGAGCACCCCAACATTACAGAACGTGACGCTTTTGTACCTTGAACTACATTTTTTTGTCGATTGAACGTATGAAAAGTAGCGATGTATGGATCATGGGAATCAAAGCATATGCAGAGTCGAGCAATTATTCCACGGTAGATAACAATAATTGGCAATAAGAGACCAAAATTGCCAACCTTATAACATTCAAGATACGTACAGTATACATAATGCTTGAAGTCAAAAGCTCGCTTCGCTACGAGATGTGAAGATAGGGATGCGGCAACTGGCGCTGCGTGTGTTCCGCACGTTTTAATTTCAATAGGAGACGAAAGATCGAGAACGCAAATCAGCTATCGGTAGTGTCTATCACCCTGCACGTGAAGTCAGATTGAATTCATGTGATGCGACAATTTGTACATCAATGTCTTGTCAGACCAGACTAGGCGTGCTGGCTTTGGTGGGGACCTTCTCTTTGCGTGTTCATTCGAATATCAACTGTTATTCTTTGTGCGACAGTCTATCAGCTATTTGTTCATATTCTGTCGAATAACTTTCTCGGTACTGATTGCGTCCTCCAAGCCGATTCCTGACACATCCACTGAGCTTTATTTTACCTTACCTAAAAGTACATGAAACTTTCAATAAACGCACTGAGTGATTTTGATCGTGGTCCGGATCGAAGAAAGGTTTTGATCTCTCTACGGTAAGAAAAAGTCAAGAAATTTTCCAGTTTTGGAACTCGTTTAAACGAGATTTCTAGATTATATGAATCAAATGGTTAGCGAGGGTTCACAATGGACCTTAAAGCGGGTGAATATAGCTGAATGTGGTAGTAGTAGATCCGAGAGAAACCAATTGCATAAGTAATTAACACATATAAGTTATATGTGTTAATGATCTGTTATATGATATAACAGATCAATCATCTTGAGTGAATAATATGTCAAAATAGAATGTGAATTTCTTCATTTATAAGCAAAAAGTAGGGAAGACCCCGTCAATCCATACATTAATGGATAAAAAAGGTAAAAGGACTAAAAAGGACTTTGAAATACTTTCATACTTTATCCTTAAATAAGCAACAAGTAACATGGAGTCATGCATCGAGGATAGTAACACACTCAAATACTGTTTTCTATGAATTAAGGACTAAATTATCAATCAAGTATAAAGATCACAAGTATAAAGAATAACCAGATTCATTGAAAATAAATGCAAAATACACAAATAAATCATTTCGAATGATAATACAAGGTCAAGTGATTTTCAACTCCTTATGTACTGCAACATGCTTTCATGAGATGTAGTTCAAATGAGAAAAAGCGAATTTGCAAGTTTAGCCAAGCTTATAAGTTAGAGAATGCGACAGGCTAAAGCATAGCAGTTTTATTTTATGTTAATAATTTTATTTAAAGAGAAATATTTAGATGATTTTTCATTACAATTATGTTAATTTTTTGGGTGTTATGATGTCCATCTTCAAGATTTTCAAAGTTCATCTTAATTTTCAAAAGAAGTGTTTGAAAATTAAGATGAAATTTGAAAATCTTGAAACAAAAAATATAATCAATTTTTACATTACAATATAATTTTTTTAATTTTAAAGATATTTTTTCTAATGTATAGAATAATAGTTGGCCTATAGAAACTTTTCAATTTTCTGTTAACAGCTTGAAGATTCATCATATATCCCTGTTCTTTATTAATAACATTTTGACGTTGTTTGATTAACTCTTCTAGCATCTGCCATAAATGTAGGTGTGTAGCAGTATCCTTATAACTGATTTGAACATCTACATGATCATTTCTCAGTACTACCTACCTTCAATCTTAATGATGTTTGAATTTGATGTGTCATTTTCTTGTCAATAACATATTGTCATGAACTCAAGACAGCTGTGAGCAACCAACCTATCTTTTCGAAAGTTTTTTTTCTTTTCAAGAAAGATCAAACATCCTTCTTCTTGTAATGTCGCGTAACAAAATACAAAAGAGGACCGTCACTATAACCTTATGTTTCTATCGAAGAAGGAATTGCCATGTGTGTAGTAAATGGTAAATGGTAAAAATAATGAATAGTGAAACTTGTTATCCTAGCTGTACATTAAAGTATCTATGTCGTTATTGAGCATGTTTGAGCTACATGTTATGAATTAGTACTCTTTTGATACTTCATGCTTGTGATATAGATTTTTTTGAAGCTTGATTTGCAAAAAATTGGGTAAAAAACTTCTACAATAACTTTCCAAATATAATTCTTGTATAAATTTGTCAAAATGAAAAATTATTGCTAAAAGGAATGTGTGAAATGCTCATTCACAGCAGTCTTTAAATTCGAACTACTTGAGGTATATCCTGCAAATTTGATGTTAAGATACCATTAAAAAGCTCAAATTCACATTGATGTCAGTCTCTTAGTACAAGATTGAGGTGTCACATGCCACACAAACATGACACTTAGACAGCCAATATGAGCTTTGATCCTATAAAACCTAAAATCTGAGTATATGCAATCACTCTGCACAAGTAAGGTATTTCTGATTATTACCAACATATTTTGCGGACTTTCAAGAAGCTCAATAAAGACTTCTTGAATTAATGTTGGTTCATCTTTTTAAGTTGGAATTTACATTGTGACAAGCCTATCCAAAGAAATTTCACAAGAATGCAATTTAATGAAAATTAATTTAAAATCTATATCAATAAATCATATTGTGCATCTTTCAATACATATTCATACATAAGTTTGATGAGATTTAAATAAGTTAAGGTAATCAGATAAATATATTTACGTATTCTTGGTGAGGTTCATATAAATTGGAATATATCAACATTTATTTATAGATATTTTTGATGAAATCTATATAAATGGTATGATTTGATAGATATTCAAACATATTTATTATGCTATTTATTTAAATTTAAGAATGTAATAAATTTTTATACATGGATATGATGAGCTTTGTGCTGATTGAAATAGTTTGAATTTTCATAAATTTTAAAATTTCACTAAATACATACATATTAAAATAATTTATTTGATAAAGATAATGAATTATAATGATATTTATCTTTCGAAAACTTTAAGTAGAAAAGATATATAATGAATTAAAAAAAAAACTACTATAATCATATCCACGTGTTTATTATTCACGTGAAATCATTCATAATAGTAGATAGTTCAGTGTGAACTTTATATTTGTATCTGATATCTATTGCATAGTTCCTCATATTATGATTTTTTCATTTTTTATTACGAAAAAAATTTGCAGTTTCATTTATGCAATTTATTTTGTAGATTGTTGTTTTGAATAACACTACTGTCATCACCAAACACCCATAACATTGAAATTTTTTGAGCATGAACAGAAAACATACTACCATATGAACTGCTATTCACAAAAATCTTGTCATTTTTGGAAAATTATTTAAAAAAATTTCAGCGTCGTAAATCTTTTCAATCTCATAAAATTCTATGATTCCAAATTTCCTTAACTTTCTCTTACCGATCTTCTAGAATAATTTTTATTGACTGCATGTACCACAATTCCATTTTTAGAATCTTTAAACGATTCAATCTTTGATTGATTTTTTTTTACTCAGATATATTTCTTTTATATTAAAATATCTAAGACATAAAAATTCCATTAGTTAATTCTTTTTAATAATATGGGTGTTGTGTATTCTTCTAATCAATCTTAAGAACGCTTATTTAAAGGCAAGGCTTAAAGACTGGCTGTGATGATATTTTTAATAAGTTTGGAACTTAGGTGAAAGACATTAATTTGCTTAAATTTTGCTATGTACTCTC